TGAGTAGCTAACAAACTGAGTAACAAAGTACTTAGTTCAACTCAATTCGTAGAAACAAAAGACAAGCAAAGTCACACCAAATCATCAAAGGGTAGTGAGGTAAAAGCCAAAGATTGAGTAATCAAATGAAAGAGAGAACAAATACATCCAGTTAACAGGTGAGCAAAGAAAGACGGATGACTGCTTCTTGCTGAACACACAAGTCAAGGTTTCAGGCGTTTGACAGAGATTGCCTTAGCAAATTCGATGGAAAGTAACCTTTTTAATCTAATTATAATTTCAAAGGATTTCATGATGTCCACCTTCTGATCCATATCACAAGGAAATGTCTAGTAAAGACACCATTGTAAGCGTTTTCCACCCTGGAGACGTGGGCTTTTCCGTACATGTTCAGAGAATCAGAGGTGTCCCCTTCTTCTTTCTGTTCTCCCAATAATGTGACTAATTTCTCCCGCAGATTCTTTTATTCCTTTACAATCCCAGTGGAACATAGCGACGGCTTCAAGCTAGAGGCTTGAAGTTTCGGTAGAAGTGATGTTTGTTTCTTAGAGGAAGGGGTTGCTAGCTAGCCACCTCATGCTCAACCTTTCCTCTTTACCAGCTTTATTACTGGCTCGGCGAGTGAGGTAAGGGAGTGTGTCGGTTGGGGATCGAACTCCGGACCGCGTGAGGTGTGGTCGGCGAGCGTCCTTACCGCTGTTCCACCGACGCTCACGGCTCCCGAAGATACGTTTAAATTTCTTTTCAGTATACAGTTAGAATGAACATGAGACGCCAGCAAAATAAGTGATGAAACTATTCTATTCTGCTTATTTAACTGTTGTTCTCGCTTTATTTAAATTCATACAGGGGAATAAATGTATGAAGTAATAATTATAATAATACTCTACACCATTTAACCTGGAACAAGCCTTATCACACTATGAGTAGTAAAATAAGGGCTGAACTCTCACCTTACCAACTCTACAAAACTGGAAGTGCAGTTTGTGAAGCCCATAGCAAGAGCTGTTAATTCTCTAAAATAACAAAAACGTAATAATAATAAACACATCATATATGCTAAGATACTTAGTATTGAAAAATAGTTGATGTGAATAATAATAACAATAATAAAAATGTTAACGAAAGTTAATTAGTGAACATTGAACGAACGGATCTCGATTTTAGCGGGAGTCAACATAATGCCGGTAGTGATCTAATCGTAGACTATTTCACAGAAAACTGGAGAAAAAACGATCAGAATTTATCATTGTGATTCATGCTGATGCTGCTTTACTCATAGATTTTGTGTGCTGTAGTCCTGGTTCATTGTCAGTAGAGAAATAAATAAACAATCCTCAAATCGCCAATATGTTTTTTTCTGATATCTTCGAGTCGGTTACCGTACACAGCATAGCATAGCCTGGAGGAGCGATTAGTTTTCTGGCAGCAGTGCTGCTAGGTAGGTAGGTGTTCAGGATCTTTTCTGATCTGAACGAATGACAGTTTCTGATTTGGCTTGTTCGACAGTATATCTGTGCCTATGCAACAGCCTACTCATCAGATGCAAACTTAAATTGATCATATCCTAATGATTTCTAAGAAAATATTCCGTCTTACCTTCTACATCAAGAAGTTAAAACATTCTGGAATAACCCAACCCCTACTCCTACGATTCGTCAACTCTTGCATCCTGCCTATTATTCTCTCTTGTTCCCCCTTATTTGTTCCAGGGCTACTGAAGAAAGGCTATATCTTATTACGTAGGATATTAAAGGTTGTCAGCAGAATAAGCAACGTGCCACTTAACCAGCTCGTTAATATTCTGGTTGACAGGCACTTGGACTCATGTTAAAAATGGGCTAAATCCATTCTATCTATCTAACTAACTCACAACACCCTTTTCATTCACAACTCTCCCCTTGTATTTCATCAGGAAGAACTAGAAGCCTATATAGAAAACTATATATGCTCGCACTAGAAAGTACAAAAACTCAACCATACCCAACCCAACTTAGCTCGTGTCCTGTGTGATAAAGAAAACCAGCCACGTGAGTATTCAGAGTGCAGGGTGTAATAGAGATATTTCCCGCTTGGGGCCTTACTCTCCACTGGGAAAACAAGTAACAAATAATAATAATATAGTCACTAACTTGCACAGAATCAATCACCTCTCCATGAAAGCTCTTCACACCAAAATGTAAATAATTAGTTTAATTTTTTATAAAAACGTACTTAGATACAATTACTTCAGAAAGTGCTTCATCGAAAGTCTTCTGGTGTTCACTAAATTTCTTTCTATCGCACCGACATGATGTAAAATTGGCGAGGTGTACACGGCTGATGCTCTACACAGCCAACGAAATAAGCAGTGGTGGTATACTATCATCTTATTCTGTAGAAACCAGCGTTATTCTTGCTTTATTTAAATAATATTGGTAACTGTTGTTCTAAGGATTCGTCAGACTGGTTTATTTCATGAAGTACATAGTTGTGGTGTCTTCTCCAACCTGTTTGTTTGACGCTGTATGAAGATACATACCATTAGAGGTGGCAGTAGTATGAGCAGTTAGATGATCGTCATGTCAGGCGTCTCACTAGCTTTGTTTTCTACTCATCAATAGTATTCTGTCAGTTTCACCATGACCAGTAGGGTCTAGCAAATCGGGTATGAAGACAAATACTCGCCGTGGATGACATTGATTAGTGCCAGTCGCTGTATATTGTGAATTGGCCATTGGATCGAGTCCCCACTGGCTTGATGGTCTACGAGGTCGCCTTGTAACCGGTAGGTCCCGGGCTCGAACCTTGACAGTGGATGCGTAGTACTGAAGAGTGATAAACTAGGACGGTCAGTTTTCCAGTGGTTCTGTTCATGATGAGATCTTGTAAACAAATTTTAAAGCCAAACAATTTGGAATCATTTCGACTACTCGTATTGTTAACTGTTGATGCATCCCGTTTATTCAACACTTCTTAAAGCTTCATGATAAAGTTGTTTGTGTACTCGCTAACGTTGAAGTGTCTCTGAGAGTGTTCATGCATTCTAATTGCTCTTACTGTAAGACCAAATTTCACAAGGTACCACCACAATATGTTTATTGTGTATTGAGTGTCTCGTGTTTTCGAATTATGGTTTTTTTGTAGGGATATTTGGATTAATTTCAAAATAGATTTCCTCACGAACTAATAACGGTTGCAAAGACTGTTGAAACCCATCAGGGAATACTGGACAGCTGTTTCTTCCTATATTAAAACTCTTTAGAGGTGATTACTTATGGCGCTACTAGCGATCGAATCCGGGACCTTTTAGTTACTACGACAAGCTGGTTGGCTATCGCCGGGTAATTTCCTCTCGGGAGCATCCTCTTCGCCTTCACATGGTTGACCACACTGTCTGCAACGTCTCATTACAGCTTCAGGACACCTATCCAGGTTAAGCTTCCCACGTCAGTTGAAAATCCAGGGTTTGGTCGCTCCTTGAATCGTGGGTGAGGACTGTCGAGGAGTTCCGAAGTAGAACGAAACAGCTGCTCATTGTATCCTGGTTTTCAATGACCTCGGACTAGTGTGTTCCATTATGACGAGGGAGGAATACGATAGAGTGAAAGGTTCTGAAAATGATCATCCAAGTATGAAAAAGGTGGGTATTTGTGTAGTTTTGTTTTCAGAAAGTGTGTACTCATTATTTACTCATTAACATGATTAGTTTGTTCAGCGTATTATCATTATTACTACTATTATAATTTCCCAAGGTCCCATCCCACACCTCCACTTTGTGGTAATTTTCTATCCCCCCCTTTAACTGACTCCGGAATTGATCATAAGCTCTTATTTCCTCCTCATATGATCTCCTCGATATTACTCAGCCATCCTACCCATCTGTTTCCATTCGACTTCCAGTGACAGTGACTGGTGGTGATAGCTCTTCCGCCGAGACCTGAACCTAGCGCTCATCGTTTCAAACAAAAAGTCGTTATCTCCTAGATCACTGTGGTCATTCTTTGTGCTCTCTCTGGTGTGGTGGGTCGCGTTAGGGCTTCAAGCTGTGAAGTTTTCAGTAGCGCTATGGTGTTATTATTATTGTTGTTGTTTTTTACAGAATAGGGTCAATAACTTCACGTTCAACCTTGTCTGTACGTAGTACGTCAGTAGGGCATCAAGCTCGAACCTCTTGGTGGTTAGTCCAGTTTTCAGCCGGTAAAATGCAATCATACATTCATTCCTCTATTTATCAATTGGAACAAATCACAAAAAGCAATGTGCGTTGGTGTCACATTGGTTAGGACTCTCACCGACCATGCACATAGTGGTCCGTGGTTCGATGCCTTCCCGATGCACACCTAATATCTATGGTCGGCCTGGGAAATTTGGGCTACGCGGATATCACATGCTGAAAATTCCATGCCTGTACCAAAAAAGAATACGGTGTGGAATCAAGCTGTAACCAAAAATAATAAGAAAAAGATATTGTAATTTTCCTTGTCTCTTGTTTGTATGATTTGAATTGGATTGAGTGTATCGTTACTCAATTTGGTGAGTTACTCATCATTTTCTGTCGCCTTCTGTCGTCCTTATTTATTACGTGACTCCTGTGCCGTTGTGTATGCAAACATTTACTTTCTTTAAACTACTTGAACTCGCTGTGTGCAAGTAAGTCACTATGTGATGGTTTCTGTACACAATCTTAAAACTGTCTTTTGATGACTGTAAGCAGCTGTGCTGATGATGAGAAGCCAGCGAAATAAAAAAAATTAAAGATGGTGGTATACCATCATCATCATCATCTTCTTCTCTACTGCACAAACTACCACTGTTGTTCTCACGCGTTATTCGAATTCTACTTATCGAAACAAAATGTGTGTTGAATACATTTTAGAAGCTTATTAATTCACTTTTAATATATGCTGTATTTCACTTTTTCAATATTAGCAATTTTTCAAATTCTTTCTTCCTATTTCATCACTTCAGAAATCTTTCCCAAAGACCAGCTATGGGTGGTTTTAGAATCGGCATTTTGTGGTGTACCGCTTGAGAATAATATTGTAAGTTTTGTGATGTGAGCACAAAGACTGATTATCGACTTCAGTGTGTGTGTGTGTTTCTACTACTTGTTTTCTATCTATTGTATCCGATTCCATTGGGATTTTTATCTGAAGGAAAGATATTACAGTTACCTCTGAATGGAGAGAACTATGCTGTGCCCATATCTAATTAGTGAAGTATTATACTCTTATTGTAACAGCAGAAGACAAGGGCCAGGCAGGTAACAGATCGTTTACTGGGAAAATCAACAGATATTTATAGATTTTTATGTACATTATTATAATTAGCGTTGTCGTTAGCAGAGAAGCAACGTCTTCTGATTGGTTGTTTTGCTGCTGAAGGTTATTCTGTCACCTATTTGACGCCGTTTACTAGACAGTCCGTTGATATATCTGCTGATCGCATCCACCTACGTAAAGTCTGCTGTGATTGTGTGTTGAGTTCCTCAAGACTGGTCTTTGTCATTGTTTTTTCTCATGACCCCGATTTGGGACGCAAAGATAGAAGTAAATTGTTGCCTACCAATTTTCCTGCTAGTAGACAGCTCTCACCACATAGCTGCTTATAAATTATGTATCAACCATAATAAATTATGTTTCAACCCTAATAATATGATTGCTGACAAAATATCAGCATAGATACAAAAGCCTCGTATGGCACTTTTCTGACATGAGGTATCTCTAGCGTACACGTGATCTCTGACTAGCGACAGTCAGTTTTTGACGTATGCACTGCACAAAAGTTTACTGTCTCTTTCGGTATATACAGCGGATCAGCCAGTCAGTGCCACAAAAGTGTGTTTGTCCTCCCACCCGACTAAGTGGTTCCCACTGGTCATGCCTTTTACCAGACCTCCAGACAACCTTGTCATGTAGCCTGTTTCCACTGTTAATCGCGGGAGATAGATAGATAGTTTGGCGGACAGCTAATCGATATATGTGACTCTTTGTCGCGATTGTTGGCTAAATTAATGTAACTCTGACCGCGTGATGTGACCTTGAATGTTGTTTATTCCTGTCACTCTATTCTGTGTGTGTGTATATGTAATTAATTAACTGTCCATTTTGTCTGTTCCTTCTATACTGTTCGGTATGTTTTTGTCTTTTCTTGAGTGACAATGGATTTTGTGCTTTTCTTGGTGTAATTGTATACTTTGCTTTATTTTATGTTTTAGAAACAGATGAAGTTTAAGTCAAGTCACTCTGTTTTTAAGTATAGTTAAGCCAGGACTGTGTGTCGTCAGTACTGAGGAAGGACTAAATCTGTGGGCAAAACTAATCCTACAACCAGCGCGAGCATCAGGTTCATCGACAGTATGTAAGTGAATCTTACTTCAAAAAGTGCAGCGATTCAAGAGAAAATCGATGATGATGATGAGGAGGAGGTCTAAACTCTATCTGTACATAGTAGACATGCTGTCAACTCAACTGATGAGAAAGTATATAGCACTATAGAAAATTATTTATTCAGTGACTTTCGAAAGACGATTTACCGCTAGATAAGTTATGCCGTTTACTGTCTGTCTGTCTGTCTATTTTCGACATAGAACTTTGCACAAATGTGCGGAAGTTCAAGTCGCCACACTCCGTGTAGCACGCGAAGCAAGAGAAGAAAGTACAAGAAAAGCATAATAGAAACAGTGAGCAGAGGTGTGAGACAAAGGAAGAGTAATAACGAAAAACAAAACAGTTTCATTGAAGATCATAAGTCACAGGGAGTGGATGCATCTGCGCTAGCCACTGAGAACGATTTTGAGCCATGTCACCAATTATTTCCAACCATAGATATTTACCGTCCCGAGGACCCCAGCCTGGAAGTCTACACCTTCCTACGTGGCCTAGACCAACTGTTGTGGATTTCATTGACTGGTGCCAAGTTTTTGTTTGACCGCCGCTAGCTTTTTTCCAGCCTGACCCTATATCCGCTAACATTGCTCGTCGAGGGAGGCGATGGCTTGGCATACGTAATACATGTCCTAACCGTCTCAGTCTTTGTAACTTCACGACTTCGTCGATTGATTTGCCCTGTTTACCTAGAACTCTACGCCTAACCTCAATGTTTCTCACCTTATTATGCCACTTTACACGGGAAATAGAGCGCAGGCACCTATGATCAAAGACAGCTAGTCTTTTCATGTCTTCCACTCACAGTGGCCAGTTCTCACAACCATAAAGGAGAACTGATGAGCAGTACACCCGCCCTTTGGTCGATAGTCGAACATCTCGTCTACGCCATAGACGGGGTAGATCCTAATCACCTACTATTAAGCTATAAGTGATAATTATTTTGTGGGGACCCATATTTCAGTAGTAGGTGTAGTAATAAATATGATTTATCTGACAGAGGCTATGAACGGTTGTCACCATATGATGAGGAGGAGAGTATTTCGAAAGAAAGACCGGAGTCCATGCGTCATCCACGTAGTGGGATTGTTGGTCGTTCACGCAGGGCCACCATCAGTCAAGCTAAGTTTGGGGGAAATTATGATGATGATGATGTATGGGTAACTCTTGTAAATAGGTCAACATTGTCTTATCTATAGGAGATACCCAACTTCATTGACCATATATATACATGTATATATATATATATATATATATATAACATATGTATATGTATATATATACAGACACACACACACACCTTCAGTCACTTTTGTTGTATGAAGTGTTTCCTCTTTGATTGTAGATGATACTTTAGTCTATGTTGACTTAAGTAGTGACCCTACTTTGTTTCAGTCCCAAGGTGATTATCAATTCGACATATATCGTCATATGAAATTACATAATCGTTAGGTATACATAAAATGATTTGCTTTTTTGTGTTTTCAAGTATAGACCAAAGTTGTTGTCCTTTTGTTGCAAATTTCAGATTTGATCATGAGTTGATATCAGTTAGGGAACCATTGGATGACCAGCCAACCAGCTGTTTTATCCTAGCTTTAGACTCTTCAGCAATACATTATTACCACTGCGATCCGACTGAAAAACCTTTCAGTCAAACCATTCAGCCACTGGGACTCGATGCAATGACCTACGATTTCTGACTTTTGCCTGAAAAGCTTCTTTAACTGATGATGTTGTCAGCTAGCTTGTGATTATACTTGTAACCACTCAAATCCTCCTGCATACACTATATATATATATATATATATGTATATGTATATGTATCACGAATTGGCAGACGCGTTGGAATTCATGGGCGATTGGATTGGGTAGGTCCTAGTGGTTGGATGGTCTACAAACTCACATTGTAACCGGTAGATCATTCCTGGGTTCGAAAGTTGCAATGTTAGTTCATACCGACGAGGAGTCCTAAACTAGGGACGAAACGGCCGTGTTGTAGGTTTTGAGTGATATATGAATCACTCAACATTATGTTGGAGGAAACCATTAAGTGACATCACTAGACAAGCGCTCGAGTGGGACCCGAATGGGAAGTGGCGAGTTGGTCGTCCAAGGGTGACTTGGAGTAAGTCATGTGATGAGGAGATGAAAGCGAGTGGGAGAATTGGAGCTGGGTGAAAACGTTGGCAGAGGACCGAACGCAATGGCGGTGAAATCTCAGCACGGATCCGAAAAGCTCGAGCTGCTTTCGCTGACTAACACCATCTCTGGCGTAGGCGTGACATCCGGTTATCAACCAAGGGACGTGTGTACTGCTCATCAGTTCGCTCCGTCCTTCTCTATGGCTCTGAAACATGGCCAATACGCGTTGAAGACATGAAAAGGTTAACTGCTTTCGATCATAGATGTCTGCGATCCCTGTCTCACGTTAGGTGGTTTCACAAGATAAGTAATGTTGACGTTAGGCGTAGAGTGTTGGGCAAAGAGGGAAAATCAATCGACGAATCTATAAAGTTACATAGACTAAGATGGCTAGGTCACGTGCTGCGCATGCCTACCCACCGCCTCCCCCGACGGGCATTGTTAGCTGATATAGGTTCAGGTTGGAAAAGAGCCAGTGGTGGCCAAACAAAAACATGGCATCAATCCATGAAATCCTTGACAGTTAAACTGAGTCAGGTAGGGAGATGCAGACTCCCGGGTTGGGGCCCTCGGGACTCTAGGAATCAATGGCTGGAGACAATAGGTGACATGGCTCAAAATCGTTGTCAATGGCGCAGATGTATTCAGTCTCTGTAATCTTTCATATTCCTTCCTACCATTACCCATTCTGTTTCACTCTCATACTTGTCAAACTCTATTGATTCTCGTCACTCATCTTCTTGTCTACCTCTGCGTGCTATTTGGAACATGGCAACGCGAACTGCTGCACTTCGGTGCCAAGTTCTATGTTGAATCCAGACAGACAGAACGCAATGGAGACGCGCAGCTGAAACCCTATGTTCCTCTAGGAATTATAGGAAATAATAATACAACATTATGTTGAAAGTGTTACGGTAAATAATACGTGTTTTGGAGGCAGTAAGGTGTTTCTTTCATATGACCAACGAGCTATTGATTGTGTTGGCGCGTACATTCTGGGAAAGCGGGTTGATGGTTGACCCTGAAAATTGTATGTCTTCAGCCACCTTGCAAAACAGTCTATGCCAGGTTGTAAGTTCTTAAAACTTCACTTCAAACAGGTTGTGTAGCCACCCGCAAGGAGTCTTCTCAGTTCTGATACTCTGTTTATGTTTCATGCGTTTCCGTTAGTCAGATGGATTACCTACTTGTAATTCGGTGCAAGTGACACTGAATTCTGAAATAGCGTCCAGGAGACACCAACAAGATAGTCTAAACATGCCTTCGGGGGTTAAATCAACAATAACACACTTTATGGATCGTTTCCAAGTTTTGATTTGACTACCCCTAGCTCTTCTCTGATTTTATCCTATGTCAGCTAACGTTGCTCGATGAGAAAGACGATTATTTGGCCTGCGTGACGCATGTCCTAACCATGTCGATCGATTCAACCTGATATTTCATCTGCTTCCCTCAATGTGCAGTGTTAGGCGAATTCATGTAATCTTGTAGAATTTCTAATCGGTGGGCACCGAATTTCAGTCATTACCAATTGTCCAGTCGAAGTATTCACTACAGTCTTAAAGGTGGTCAATCACAAACCTCTATAGGACTGTGGAAACCTCCCTGGATGCAACACTGAGTGACCTGGGTTCGAGTCTCAAAGAGGATAGAAGCTCCTTCAGAATTACAGATACGTCTTGCCGACAAGTGCCAACAAGCATGAAACCAATCCAAGGTTCCTTTCCGATCGCCTTCTACCATCTGATTGAAACAATTGACATTGCATTTTGTAGTCGTAAGCCACCTACCATTGTGGCCACATTGCAAACTTGACTGGTCGAAATAGTTAACCCACGGTGTGGATGCATACTGCTGACAATGATTGGTATTCTGTTGAAAAATGTACGTGGCAAACTTTCTTCAGTCTTGTTGCCGTATATTGAATAATAATTAAATTGATTTTTGTATCCGTTTGTTTAAATGCATTATTACTATTATTGTTTTTCACCCGCTTATTATGATTTTGTTTATTTTCTTTCTTCTCCTCCTCCCCCATAGAAATAATTGGAAAAAGTTTTCACCGAAAACCAATATTATGTGGTTTCACTACCTAACGACAAAACTATGCAGTGATTTGCCGGAAGTAACCTCATTATCTGCTGCTTCCCTCTACATCAAACGTCATACTATTTGTTGTAAACAGTTGAAAGACTTAGAGTTGAGTGCTCAATTCTAAGGTTTACATATAAAAGGAACATCTCTTGTTTTTAAAAACTTTGTCCAATCATGAGTCATAAAATAAGTATAAACAAGTAGGTATAATAAACAAATCTGTATGAGCTGCGGTCAAAATTTGACCTCGGACTTACAAATATTGGCCTACCTTTGTTAAACACTTTAAACACAGTGTGTATGTGTGTGTGCGAATAAACAGTTGCAAAACAATGTCTTAACGTCTCCATGAGTAGATATAGACAGTCAGGAACTTTGACCAAGTATTATTAGTTAGTGATACGTACCCACTACTGATGGAAACAACTGATATAATTTGTAAACTACCATTACCGGAAACAGAGATGAAGCGACTTCTACTGCTCTGCACAAATGATATACGATTCAAATTCAACAATCAACTTTACCGACAAACCGATGGGGTCGAGATGGTTTCGCCTCCGGGGCCTATCCTGGCTGATATCTTCATGGGCTACTTTGAGCAGACACAACTAAGTTCTGCTATCAATGGAACTACCTTCTATCGCCAATATGTTGATGACACATTTGTTGTTTGCAGCGATATGGATCACGCATCGGCACTATATGATCGCCTAAATGAGATACATCCAAATATCAAATTCCCCATGGAATATCAACATAATAATGAGTTCAATTTCCTGGATCTAAATGTAAAAAGAACAAACTAAGGCACGGTCGAAAAGTCCATCTATAGAAAAGAAACCTGGACTGGACAATATCTTCACTATAACAGGTTTTGTCCCATAACCTATAAACGTGGATTAGTGAGGACTTTGTATGACAGAGCCAGAAAGCCATGTTCACCAAACAGGGTCGAAGAAGAATTAGTTTTCGTCGAGGAATGCCTAAGGGAAAATGGATACCTTAAGGGATTTATTCAGAAGTTCAGCAGAGAAAAAGATGAGAAAGAAAAGCATCCAACTGTAGAAAAGAAAAAAGTTATTATCTGTCTACCAAACAAAGGAGATGCAGTGTCACAAAAGATTGACAAAAGACTGAAAGGGGCAATAAATAGAAGCTTCCCAGCAGCAAAACTCATAACAGTATACAGCACCACTCCTTCTTTAATCCACTCAAAACTGGATAAATACCCTGCTGATGTCACCTCCAACTGCGTTTATGAATTCACGTGCACTTGCGGGAGCATGTACATTGGAAGGACAGAAAGACGGGCTTCTATCCGGTTTTCTGAACATATTCCCAAAAACCTGTGCCTGAAAGGAAGCAGATATTCCCAGAGTGCAATTACCAGACACATTATTCATACCGGACATCTCGTAGAGATTTCTAAGTCCTTCAAAATATTAAATAGACAAAGGACAGTAAATTTACTACGATTTGCCGAAGCAATCGCAATCAAAAGACTTAAACCAGACTTATGCATACAGAAAGAGAGTGTGATTAACCTCTCACTACCTTGGTAACAGAATTTTGATTTTGATTAGTCATCTAATTCAGTGATCTCAACTAACTGAACAAATCTTAATCTCATAAACTGTAACCGTTTTTGTTTTTGTTTTTTTGTTTCTTGAGTTGCTATGTGAACCTAAAAGCTAGCACTGTTCTGTTTAATCAATTTTTCTGTTTTCTCTCTTACCCCTCCCCCTCTTTTCAACTTTAAAAGCGTATAAATTGATGATGAAAAATTAAACTAAAAACATTGTAATGCTTTCATTTAGATGCGTCAATTTTATAGTATCTCTTTTCTACCACCACTCGAACATTAAAGTATGTTATTATCAACCATATAACCATTGTAATTTCAGGTAGTCTGCAGCTGATGAGAACCTGTGAAATAGAATGATATCATTTTATACTGCAAATTTCGTCTTCCTTTCTTTATCGAAATTTATCAAGGGAACCGAATGTATGAATTTAATTAGAAGTTGTTGAACGAGATATCACGTCAAACCTTTAATATCCGTCAACCTTTAAACTGGTGAGCCCAACCGCGAACTTCATCCACGAAAAATCCTCAGATAACCCCGGTGAGTTCGTTCCATTTTGTATTTGTTCTTGTACCATATATTATTCGACATAATTTTCGTCATGAGTGATCTTAGTCCCAAGGTCATCCGTATCCGCTCAACTCCTAAAACTATTCAGCTCGTACCATACTGGCCAGATAATGCTGAAACTTGGTTTCTGCTAGCTGAAGCAGATTTTTGTGAGCATGGGATAACCGATCAACGTTCGCAGTTACTTGCAGTTATTCACGCCCTACCGCGGGAATTCAGCAAGTACGTAACATCACAGATGTTGAGTCCCGAGGTAAGTAACTCGTACGAGTTGCTGAAAGCATCCCTCCTCAGGATGATTGATGATGAAAACTTAAACTAAAAACATTGTAATGCTTTCATTTAGATGCGTCAATTTTATAGTATCTCTTTTCTACCACCACTCGAACATTAAAGTATGTTATTATCAACCATATAACCATTGTAATTTCAGGTAGTCTGCAGCTGATGAGAACCTGTGAAATAGAATGATATCATTTTATACTGCAAATTTCGTCTTCCTTTCTTTATCGAAATTTATCAAGAGAACCAAATGTATGATACATATCCATTCGTATTTATTAATCAGGATTTCCCATGCCTCAGCTAACATCACACCTTCATCTGTTCAAACTGTTAGTATATAGAATTTTATGATTAGATTATTCTGTCAAATTTTGACTACAGTTAATTTGAATTATTTTGCAATCGAATTAAATTAACAAAGAAACCATATAATTGGTACAATCATCGTGTTTTCAATCGCCGTTGTCTGCAACAAAATGCATATCCCAAATCCGTAGCTGTCGAGTCACCTGACAACTCTCCAGTAGGTCGAATAAATCAGCTCAATTTTCAGAAAGAAGACAAAGTCATGAGTTTGACAGGGTGCTTCAACTAAACTCTAATCCTAAACACCATAATTTTGAAAATACGTCTAATCATAAGATTCTAGATACTAACAGTTTGAACAGACATGAAGGTGTGATGTTAGCTGTAGCATAGGAAATCCTGATTAATAAATAAGAATGGATATGTATCACTAAGTAATAATACTTGGTCAAAGTTTCTGACTGTCTATATCTACTCATGGAGACGTTAAGACATTGTTTTGCAACTGTTTATTCGCACACACACATACACACTGTGTTTAAAGTGTTTAACAAAGGTAGGCCAATATTTGTAAGTCCGAGGTCAAATTTTGATCGCAGCTCATACAGTTTTGTTTATTATACCTACTTGTTTATACTTATTTTATGACTCATGATTGGACAAAGTTTTTAAAAACAAGAGATGTTCCTTTTATATATAAACCTGTATTATGTTAATTTCGATTAATTTCCCTGAAGAAGTTCGGAGCAGGTTGACGAACGTAGTAAACGTTGGAATTAGTCATTTCAATATCGCTGAGATTTTACAAATATAAGTTTTTACAAATGTCTACTTCTCACTCGGCGCCCAAATATTGTAGAACTATGTCTGTCAAATCTTAACGACGGTTCATTTGAGTTATTTGACTTGATTGTACCAAAAGAATAGTTGTTTCACACTTTTCTAGTGATCTTGTGCTCAACAAAAAAGTCGATACTGAAGACTGTTTTCTGTCAGGAACTCAGATTGAAACAAACTACTGCTTAATCAATAGGCGAGATTATACCAAATACCTTAAACCAAGTATATATATATATATATATATAGTTGTCTTCTCCCTATTTTTCGTGTTTCATAAATGTGTGTGTAGTTTTGTCATGTGGTAGCAAACTCAGATTTCAAAGTTAGGTTTCAGTTAGATTTAATCGAAACTAGTAAACCGGTGTCTTTTATAGGGATTTAACTGACATAGAATCATGGTTGGAAAAGAGTTGATGATGGTGGTGTTCAGTCGAAAACTTGAAGTCAGTCCACTATGAAATCTTTAACTGCCAGCCAACCCCTTAACGAGGTTTAAGCTTCATGGTGTGGTGAGAGCAGGCTGCTAGCCGATTGGTTGGCACTAATCTACGTTAAGGTCTAGGTCACTAATATGGGCCGTGAACAAGGCTGAGTCAACAACCAATCACAGCGAAGTTAACGTGGCAAAATATGATTCGCAGATAGAGAACTCTGTTTGTCAAGGAATCCCGAAACAACCAATCAGAAGCCTGCGTTTGTCTACCTAAACAACCAATCAGATGACTGCGCTTGTCTATAATAATGTTGTCTGAAATATGTATAAATACGTGTTGATTTTCATAATAAAAGGATCTGTTGCCTGGCCCTTGTCTTCTGTTGTTACATTTGGTGTCGCTGCCTACCGACAAATGGAAAGCCTATACCCTGCAGTTTTTGATGGAGACATATGGATCTTCGGGCAGGACTTCAAGGCTTCTGCGCAGTTGAGTGGCGTTCAAGATCTGTCAGCGATGGAGCTGCTACTTGGGACGCTGCTGGGAGGTCGGGTGAAAGCAGCATATGAAAGTGTGAGCCGAAGTATGGACGAATGTTCGACAGGGTCAGGCAAACAGTTTCCAAAGTGGGAAGGACCATATATGGTCACTTCGAGATGGGGTTACGCAGACACAGTCGCAATGGCGAACAATGAGAGGCGCGTGAACGTCAGCGAGCTCCAGAAATGGATACAGCGAGACAAGCCAACGATGACGCCTGCACCAAGTAGATCAAGCCGACTTCAGTCGCACGTATTTGACGGGGGGACGAGTGTGGTGAGAGCAGGCTGCTAGCCGATTGGTTGGCACTAATCTACGTTAAGGTCTAGGTCACTAATATGGGCCGTGAACAAGGCTGAGTCAACAACCAATCACAGCGAAGTTAACGTGGCAAAATATGATTCGCAGATAGAGAACTCTGTTTGTCAAGGAATCCCGAAACAACCAATCAGAAGCCTGCGTTTGTCTACCTAAACAACCAATCAGATGACTGCGCTTGTCTATAATAATGTTGTCTGAAATATGTATAAATACGTGTTGATTTTCATAATAAAAGGATCTGTTGCCTGGCCCTTGTCTTCTGTTGTTACAATGGTTCGGGTCTTCGGGACCTCAAAATTCAATACCTGACGGCGACTATAGGAGATATGAGTCAAAATCATTCCAAATGACCCTTTGTGATCTGTTGTAATGTTTTTGCGTGTTACTTATATTCGTTCTCCCTCACTGTTCTGATTACTATAATTTTTTTCAATTTCTTCGCTTCCTCTTTTGTCTGCGTTTGTATGATACTTGGAGTGTGGCAATATGAACTAGTGAACTTCTGCGCAAAGTTTCATGTCGAAACTCTGTCAACATTGCAATACTATGGAGATATTTATTTAATATGTAAAGGCGCTATGCCATTAGAACCCCCCCATTCAGATATTCAGTTCTCGACTACCTCTGTGTAATGTCATCTCTGGCGTTGACGTGATATCCGACTGGCTGTCAATCAAAGAACTTGTGTGTACTGCTCAGTAGTAGCAGTTCGATCTATCGTTCTCTATGTCTTTTAGCAAGACATAATCTTTGAAAGTGGAAGATATAGTTGTCTTTGATAATAGTTGTCTGTGTTCTATCTACATTTCGTGTTATGTTGTTGTGTTGGTGAGTCATCGGTCTAGTGCTAGGTAAGGAGAAAAAGTGAATTGATTATGTTGTGAAGTTACATTGATTGAGTGAGATGGATAGGACATATATTAATGACATTAGTTAATTGAGAAACTAAACATATGAACTTGTTTACATGTAGCCATCAAATGACTTAGAGGAGCTTCTCACCACATGCTACACGTGATATCTGCTGGACACCCCAATGGCCATTTAAACAAGCTCGAAAAAGTGTTACGGGAGGGGTAGGGCGAAGTGATTAAAGGTATGGTGCTGTATTCTTCAGTACATTACTTTCAATGACCACTTATATATAATTGCAATTGGATGAATGTCTTAATTAGGTGTTGTGATAACTCCAAAACTACAAATGGCATAATACGATAGACTGTATTCAACATGAAAATTTCCATAGATGTCTACCAGTTCCTGTTCCCACTCACTCTTCTTCCGTGTACAGAAGACATTATACAGGGATTCAACAAAAGAGGGGCAATGAACACAAGTGTGATTGAAGGAAAAACAATAGTAGTATGGAAGAACAATAGAGTTTCATCGGATATGATTAATCACAAAGGGTGAGTGGATCTTCGCCAGCCAGGCACTGACAAGGATGATTTTTAGTCAACCATATCACCAATTGTTTCCAATCTTCATTGGTTCTTATCATCCTGAAGACCCCAATCAGTCAGGCAGTCTACACCTCCTTACGTTGCGACTAGCTCAGGCCTACTGTTGTAGGTTTCACTGACTGATGAAGCGGTTTTCGTGTGACCATCCCTAGCTCTTCGTAAAAATGGTCAACTTGAATTTGTGCCTCGCGTTCCCAGCAAATTCAGCTGTGATACTCGAACACCTTTATTTATATTTAATGCCTGCACTTTATACTATTCACCAAAACAAAACCTAGTTATTTTCCTAAGTTGGTGTGTTATATGCGCAGTGATTCTTCAGAAAAAATCAATCGTGAATGCATCTTGAGTAATGTTGTCTAGTAGTAGTAATTACTAAGTAAACTTCTTTAGAACTATTCTCTTCACAACGCTATAATAATCTTGGTACTTGTTTTTTTTTTCTGTTTTTGTTTTATCATATCTCTCATCCTAGGTCTAGTCCATGTTTTGTTTCCCGTCCACTTCTTGCTGATGTACATGAATCCTTAAATACTCTACTCCAGTTTATTATCAATTCAGGTAAGATTTATTTTGAATTATAATTCTGCGTGTTCATCATATCCTCTTCTAGCTCTGAATCGTTCTAACAATCAGTCTGTCTCATCATCAAGTAGCAGCAGCCATAGCGCCAGTAATAGCGGATCGGCTATGAAAACAGGTGGAGCTGGTTCAACTCAGTCTCATTTACAAACGAATAGAGTGAGTTGTTTACTTACTTACTTACCTCTTTCCTTTCATTTTAAAAGAAATTTTACTTATCCTTCCTAAGTAGTTCTGTTTTTACGTTGTCCGAGTAAAAAAAGATGATGACTACACTCGTTAAAGAAGAGGTTGTTTTTCTTTACGTGTTATTATTTCTAAGCTGTATTTTAGTGTACTTATGAACAAGTATTCACATCACTTAATTCAATTTCGGACCTGCTACTTGATTGACTGGACTGGAAGTACAAGGCCTCCATCTCCATCCACCAATTTTCTTGAAGCTAAATAATCAGACATCATCCGTCGAAGCATCTGCACAAGTAGTCGACATGACAACCTGAGTGAGGCCGATCATCTCACCTCGGTCCAATCGACTGACGGGAAAATCTAAATGGCACAGAAGATGGCTCTCGTTGGCCCAATCGGTTGAATGGAGATAACCCTTTGACGTTTGAAACAATGGGTACTGAACTCGAGCCTCAGTGGAGGGGGGGGGCGTCTGTTATGTGCAGCTTTGTTTCTTTCTTCTGCTTACACCAGTAAATATGCTAGAACCTACTTTTCTAGCACCTTCAAACACTCTGTTTAATTTTAGCTTTGATACTGACATGCTAATATGTTGTTGTCAAAACTAACTGAGATTACCCTTAATCTATGTAGAATTTTATTTTATTGTTAATTTACTAACTGGATGTAATACTGTAGTAAAATGCTTAGAATTCCATTCTGTATCACAAGTACTGTTTTGGAATAAAGCTATTATCATTGTCATTATTATCAGGTACATCCAGCTGGTGGATCTGTCTCAAATAGACAGGGTGATATGTGCATCCTGGATTCCATGTACCAATTTACTTCAAATAGTCATATGGTTAAATCTGAAATCTCAAGGTTTACTGATTGGTGTGGATGGTGACTGGCAATGTAATACGATGCGAATTTCGTCCTATTTGAGACCTATCTGCCAGCTGGATGGATGTACCTGCATTCCCCGAAACATTCCCCCCAGACGAACTGTTCGAAGGGTCACTAATTGACTCACTGATGTACACGGACACGGGGGAAAACTTGGAGAAATAATCAAATCATCCTTTATTTATTTATTTAAACGCATAAAAACTTGGTACAACATGGTACCAAGAAGGATGTGCCACACAATAATAATAAAACAACATAGATCAAAGAAAAAAAGAAGAGGAATATATTTATAAGTAGAGAACGGATAAGGAACTTCGTCTGGAAGGAAAACAGTCATGCTTAACAAGTTCAAACAGTATTCGTTAACTATTATCGGGAAGGGAAGAAAGAAGGAAACTGCAACTTGTGTAATAGCACGCGATAAGTTTCACTGATTGTTTGTTGCTTTATTCAGTTCATTGTATGAGGGCTGAGATACTGTCCGGACGCCCAGACCGAAGCAGGTGGTTTTATTAAGGGACCACCCCCGAACCTTTGACTTGGAGTCTAATCCGCAAGGCAGCGTCAGGAGCTGCATTTCCATGGCTTCCGGTGACCCATATGGATTCATATTCCATTTGATCCGATTGGATATTGGAGCCCATGTACTCCGTGGTAACTGCTTTTAGTTTAACCGCTATCCAGAAAACCTTCCTGACATGGTAGGACCAGCAGGGACAGAGTCTTAGTCTGTCTGTCTGTCTGGATTCAACATAGAACTTGGCACCGAAGTGCAGCAGTTCGAGTTGCCACGTTCCAAATAGCACACAGAGGTAGACAAGAAGATGAGTGAAGAGAATTAATAGAGTTTGACAAATATAAGAGTGAAACAGAATGGGTAATGGTAGAAAGGAATATGAAAGATTACAGAGATTGAATACATCTGCGCCATTGACAACGATTTTGAGCCATGTCACCTATTGTCTCCAGCCATTGATTCCTAGAGTCCCGAGGGCCCCAACCCGGGAGTCTGCATCTCCCTACCTGACTCAGTTTAACTGTCAAGGATTTCATGGATTGATGCCATGTTTTTGTTTGGCCACCACTGGCTCTTTTCCAACCTGAACCTATATCAGCTAACAATGCCCGTCGGGGGAGGCGGTGGTTAGGCATGCGCAGCACGTGACCTAGCCATCTTAGTCTATGTAACTTTATAGCCTCGTCGATTGATTTTCCCTCTTTGCCCAACACTCTACGCCTAACGTCAACATTACTTATCTTGTGAAACCACCTAACGTGAGACAGAGATCGCAGACATCTATGATCGAAAGCAGTCAACCTTTTCATGTCTTCAACGCGTATTGGCCATGTTTCAGAGCCATAGAGAAGGACGGAGCGAACTGATGAGCAGTACACACGTCCCTTGGTTGATAACCGGATGTCACGCCTACGCCAGAGATGGTGTAAGTCAGCGAAAGCAGCTCGAGCTTTTCGGATCCGTGCTGAGATTTCATCGCCAATCAGTCCGTTGGTGCTAATACAACTTCCCAAGTAGGTGAAGTGGTCAACATGTTCTATCACTTCACTCCCTATCACTAAGTTAGGGTTGACGTGTCCAGTCCTGTAGCAGCATCTTACATTTTGCAGGGGCGAATCGCATGCCAAACATACGAAGATTGCTGCTCAAGGTGTTCAGAAGACTCTGCATTTTGTCAGCATCCTCCCCTAACAGGACTATGTCATCTGCATATTCTAAGTCCATTAGATTATTCCCTGGTAACAAGTCGATTCCTAAGTCACTACGTTCAGTTAAGGATACTTCCATTAGCATATCTATGATGAAGTTAAACAGAAATGGGGAAAGTGGACATCCCTGTCGGACACCACTGGTTGTTACTAATTCAGATGACAATTCCCCATAAGCCCTTACACGACTACGTGAGTTTGAATAGAGTGCCTTGATTAGTGCAATGTACTTTCTTGGCACTCCCTTCACAGTCAGACATTGCCATAGTACTTTTCGATCCACGGAGTCGAAGGCCGCCTTCAAGTCAAGAAATATGACAATTGTTGGACGCCGAAAAGTGTGTCTATGTTCTAGAATCTGTCGAAGAGTGAAGATATGATCTATGCACCCTCTACCTGGTCTAAAGCCTGCTTGATTTTCCCTTGTCTGTTCCTCCCGAGTTCTGCTTAGTCTATGCATGATTACTGAGCCTAGGATTTTAGAGACTATGTTCGTTAGGCTGATCCCCCTATGATTATCACACGAGGACTTGTTTCCCTTCTTGAATATCGGTATAATAAGTGACTTACCCCAGTCTGATGGTACTGTCTCTGATTCCCAGACTTTGCCTAGTACCTCAGTTAATCTACAAACTAGTATGTCACCCCCATATTTAAACACCTCCGGAATAATTCCGTCGGGTCCTGCCGCTTTGCCTCGTTTCAAATTACTGATAGCTTTTGTAACCTCACCTACAGACGGCGGACCAGTGTCTATATCCCATTCGGGTACGTGGTGGATGGCGGGGAGGTTCAGTGTGGCTGTAGGCAAGTTAAATTGTTCCTCAAAGTGTTCTTTCCAGCGTTCAAGGCGTCTATCCTGAGAGCTAATTAAGGAGCCATTTTTCTCAGAAATAGTCTCACTTATGAATTGCCTTCTCCCCCCGATTCTGTGATGAGTCTAAAGAGTTGCCTAGTGTTGCCTATCGCCAATGCTTTTTCCATCTCTTTCGCCTTTGTCACCCACCACTGTTCACGGTCCTTGCGGAGACTTTTAGTAAGTTTCCTTTTGTGCAGCTTTCGCTCCTCATTGAATTCGGAGCTCGCCGGAATAAGTCTTCTAGCATCTATCAGTTCGGATGAGGCAGTCGAAATCCAGTGGTTTTTACTCACCTTTGGATTTGTCTTATTCACAGCTTTTACAGCTGTATCTATAGCTGACTGAATATTCTTCCAGGCTTCTCCAGGGTGAGCACAGCTGTCGGATTCAGATATGCGTTTAGCTAGTTCTTCCTCAAATAGGGATTTAGTTTCCTGATCGAGCTGGGGGCGTAATGGTTTTACCGCCAGCTGTTTCCTACGTCCGTTCAGTCGTAAGCACACACGAGCCCGGACCAGTGCGTGATCGGTATCTACACACGTGTTCCAGAAGGAGCGACAATCTCCTACCGACCCACGCCAACGATAGCTTATTGCTATGTGGTCTATTTGTGTCCAGCGTTGGTTTGATGATGGGGGTCGCCAGGTTAAACAGTGTCTCTCCTTGTGTTTAAAGTTAGTGCTTACAAGAAACAAATGATTATCTGAACAGAACTGTAGGAGACGGTCACCGTTGTCGGTTCGCTGGCACGGAACTCCATAGGTGCCACCGACATCCTTCTCAGATTGACACAATTTCCCTACTTGAGCGTTAAAGTCACCAGCTAGAACGACTATATCTGAGCGTTTAGCCTTTCTCACCAAACTAGACAGCTTTTGGTAGAACTCATCCTTCGTTTCATCCGAACTGCAGTCAGTGGGGGCGTAGGCGGAGATTACGAAAAGGCATCGGCGAGTAGTGCAGTCCTTTCTCCTTCTTACTGATCCGTTCAGACGGACAGCACACATTCGGCTATCTACTGGGATCCAGTCAAGCAATGTCTTTTCTGCCCTAGTACTCAGAGCTATCCCTACGCCAGCTAATCCCGTGAACTAGCTGTGGCATCTCCTGACACCCTCAAGGTGAATTTTGAAGATTCATCCTGTTGGCCAGGTGGGGTTAGGTGAATAACCACACTTGGGTCTTGTATGCGTGTTTCTGAAACACAACATACATCAATGGCTCGAGATGCCAGGGTCTTAGCTAGTGATGCTTGTTGTCCTATTTGGCAAAGTGTCCTTACATTAAATGCTCCTATATGAAATTGGTGGCGTGGCTTTAGGAGACTATCCGTGGTGGTTTTTTGGCTTTCGTCGTTTTTAGTGGACACAGAGTGAAGAGGGAGTGAGGAGCCATCAAGTAGAGGAGTTGCATCACTGGGGGGAAGGTAAGGTAATAGAGATGAAGATGAAGACAAAGATAAGTGAGGATTAGAGAGGTTTTGTGTGCGTTTTGGATTGTGAGGGCGATTGTTACTTCCCGGCTGCCCACACCGTGGAAGTTGGTTGCGTGACCGCAGAGCCCAGGGGACAACTGCTTGTGGCCGGTCACACGCGGCCTGTTTTTGTTCGTTCTTCGTTGTTTTGTGTGCCTCAGTAGCATACTTATCACTCCCGCCCTGTGACACGGCAGCAGGAAGCGCGGTCGTTGTTAATCCGGGCCACGGCCGATCCGGCATGAAATTTTGTGAATTTGTTTGGATCATGGTATTGGATGAGGTAGCTGCTTTTTGTTTAACCGCTATCCAAACAACCTGCCTGGCATGGTAGAACCTCAAGAGACATAAGTCTCAGCCAGTATAGCTTGATTAGGTCATTGCGGTGTTCAAGCCCGACCACCACGTCAAGGTAGCAGCTTTCGGTCGGGAGAGTCTTAGTCAGTTTAGCATGTTGGGTCATTACCGTATTCAAGCCCGACCACCGCGACAAGGTAATAGTTATCCTTTATATGAACATACGCTGCAAATATTCCACATGGTTAGGTACTACACTGTCAGATACTGTATAATTTATAATCCGCATACTACCTGCTGCTTTTCAGGTGGTAGAATGTTGTCCCTCCCCTCGCCCCCCCCGTGTATGCTGCTGTAGCCCTGCTAGTCTTTCCAATTGTGATGCACTTCTTCTAAGCTAGCCAGCAGTCGTAGCAGTAAGCCCAGTGAAGAGGGGGAAGTTTTAGGCGGTGGGATGGTATCAACCAGACAGACAATAGTATCAGAGATCCAATTTATTATTATTAATAATTCGTGTATTTAGTAGTCTCCTCCCTTATAATATTAATAAAATTTCATCATCAGTGATGTTAGCAATCGTATCATATTGATTTTAATGTTTGTCATTGATATAATTTTGTATTGCCCAGTATCTCTCCTTTATTAATAACTTCACACACACAGGTTAGTTCTGTTCTTCTAATCATTACTATTTACATTCATTGTGTATTATGTAATCATCTCATCTGGTAATTGTGAGCTCATTCCTTTCTTTACCTTCAGATTTACAAACACACACACGCTCACACAAAGAAATACACAGACACACATATATGTATATGCGCTTATGTGACCATAGATTGATATTTTTAGTATTTGTTGTTTAGATTATGTCTACTACTATTACACAAACTAACTAACACTGCTGTTTCTCACCTTTTGTGTTGTGTTTATGCAAATTATTTCATTATATATAGCTTCCAGCACCCCGACGTAAGGCAGCAGCACCGACCTCTGCTGGCGGTGGCGGCGGCAGTGGTAGTCTAGTCTGTCCATCTGTGATGACAACAGACAACATTCCAACGTTGAACAGTAATAATTTCTTAAACAATTTCTCCCTACCAATGGAACATCCACCTATGGAACTTTCATTTGTCAATGAACCCATTAAAATCCAGTTGAGTAAAGAAGCCGAAGCCGAGGTAAGGCAAAAAGTGTAGTGTGATGATATTTACCTCTTTTTTCTTAAATAGGTGTGTGTGGGGGTTGAGTAGGCTTACGATATATCTCTTTCTACTTGATTTATTTGAATTACATGGATTGGGTGCCGGTGGGTACCTACTGATGTGAAGTTCCAAATTGTTCGGTACTCCGAGCTGGTTTTCCATTGGTTCTTTTATCTCCTATGTCAGTTCATAGTGAAATCTTGTGACCAATCAAATTTCTGTAGACCAACACTTCAAAGTGTGGTATTGCTCTAAGAGAGTTTCAAATCACTCATATTTCCGTTTGTGATCCCATCATATTTGCAAGGCGATTACTGACGCACACACAGTCACATACTTGTGGGGGAGGCTTTTGATTTATATGTTTAAGTCACCCACATTCAACCTGTTTGTTGAACCGTTTGCTGAGCGATATCGTACGCGCTTACCGAGTTGTATGACTTCACAATAATAATAAATTTGACCTGTGTGTGTTTATAACTAATGGGTCTGTGGACTGCTCAAATCTGGCTGAAGATGAAACGAACTTATTATTATTATCATCGCTCTCTTAGGTTCCTAGTGGAACGTAGGGCTTCAATAGAAAGTCTCCACTTCCTTCTATTTTCTGCGATCCTCCTTAACTGGGCCCACAATTGCCCAACTCATCTTCATGTTACCCTCGATGTGACATTGCGCGCAATATCACTTGACGGTCTGCTCACCGTGTGCCCAATCCATCTCCATTTCCTACTACATTATTGTTGAGCAATAAGTTCTCCCAGAGTTTCAATTCTTTCTGTTCATTGGGCGTTCAGTATGGAGCTAGCGAAGGTGACAGCTGTTGATAAAAGCCTGTAGCTAGCTGGCCTTTGAAAATACTTTTCCTGTTACAGGCACCCAGTACAAGTTTGTGACCCATATTGAAGAACTAACTGACTGACTGGATTGACTTGACATTTGTGTTGAAAATCCGAATCTTGCTCCAAATTGATTTCAGATTGATGAAAGGCGTACTTCGACTTTCGGAATCTCCCCAACCAGCGTGTGGTACAGGTTTAAACCCTACTCCTCCAATCATTGATAGAGGTTTGAGTGAGCAACCAAGTGATGATAGGAACCCCCATCCACACTCTGTCGGGTGTCAGAGCGAAAATAAACTTTAGAGTCTGTATAATTGATCAACATTGGTTATAAATTGAAAATGTCTCTTTGTATCAATAATTATTATGTATTGTACCATAATAGTTCTATTAAAATATATATCCAGGGCTGCCACCCTCCTTTCACTAAAAAATTAAGCAACATTCTTCTACATTTCGTCAATAGAATTTTTCGTTGCCAATACATTTTTCTGCTATTGGCTCATTTTTGTTTCAGTCATCAGTGAGAGCTCATTATCTCAGTTTTTTTGTTTTGTTTTTAACAATGACCCCAATTTCAATATTATTTGTTTTTGGTTATATTCGTTGTTATTGTTGTTGTTGCTGTAAATCGGTCAATGAGTGCGCATAACCACTTATCATTAAAGTAGAGTTGACAGAGATATCGATTACAAGACAAAACGAGAATAACAGTCACAGGAACTTCAGCTTACATGTAGAGATCATTGTCATCATGACTACTCCTGTGTACATAATGCTGTTGTTGTTTCTACCGTCTTAAACGTCAGACGGATGGATACATGTTATGAAATCGAAATAACTTGATGCTTTAATTTAGTTTTCATATATTGTCTATGTTATGTGTGTGTGTGTGTTGGGTGCATTTATTACAATTAATTACATAATATTCCGTTGAGTGAGCTCCGAGTGGAATATAAGGCTGCAAAAACAACAACAGCACATCTCCATTTCATCCTACTCTCTGCAGTCTTGTTTAGGTGACACACTCCATGACCAACAGGATCTTGTTTCCTCTTCACACGACCCTCGGACTTCCAACTCGCCGTTCTCCCTCCGCATTTGCATTTCACTGGAGCGATGGCCCTGTTACACAATGCCATTTCCCTCGGGGATAACTTTTCCTCTTTGGTTGGTTCCTAGAGTTCTCTGCCGCCAATCCCTTTGTAGCCATCTGGTCTTTAGCTTTTTGACACCCTCGTCCGTGATGTCCACCTGTAGTTAGAACGCCACGGTGCTGCCTAGTGAAACTGGAAGAAGCGGTCTCTTTTCTACAATTTTCTGCCATTATCACATCGTTTGGAGGACCATCGGGAACCACTAGGGAGCACTAGACAGTTGTTTCCTCCTAGTATGAGACCCCTCATTAGTACGCACCCACCAGCACGGTTTGAATCCGGGACCTTCTGGTTACAAGACGAGCTAGTTCATAGACCATTAAGCCACTGGGACCTGATCCAATGGCCAACCGATGAATTCCAACTTCTGCCAATTCATGATATAGCGCGACCACTTCGCAATGTCTTTTTCGATGGGTTACTGTCTCACATTCAACCTGCTGTACGTTACTTGTCACGGGTTTGTTTACGTATGTGTGTTCAGTTTCCTATACGGTGAGACAAAATCTGCGTGCTTAATGTTTGGAAATTATCGATTCGCGTTTAACTGTCGATTATCATTCATCTTTCAATGAAATTTCATATACACAAGCGTATGTGTGTGTGGAATTAGATTATCTTAATACATTCATCAATTCCCAGAAGACGTCTTACTATTATTTCATTTTTAAAATTGATTCCCTACCTTGATGAAAGAAAATCAACTGAAAGTCAGTTAAAAATTGGCATGCCATCAACTCTATTCGTAATTGGATATTCTTTGCTGTTAACTATGCCCCAGAGGATTAAATTGATTTTCTTAAGGTTAAGTGTTGATTTCAATGATCGACCTTCTTTTTTGCCAGCGTGTCGTCATTGCATATAGCAGTAATAATTCATAATACTTGACTTGGTAACATACTTTTAAGACTTTCGGAGTTTCTCAACCTTTTTCTCCCCGTTCTCTTTCCCGATTACAGGCGAATACGTTCTTTCAAAAGCTATTGGAAGGCATTAGTCCACCAGATGAAATGTTCAAAACGCTGTACGATTTCGCTACTCAAGGTACACCGGCTCAACGAAAACTTTTAGATGGAATTCTACGTATGCTAGCCGATGAAGTCTCTCGACATTTACAAGATTATCCTGAAGTTATGCTACCGTTGATCGCTGATTTGTACGGTAGTGTTCTTGCAGCTAGTACTCATCTGTAAGTTGTTTTTGTATTAGATGACGATTGCGAGAGAGAGAGAATGCCTTACGTCCAATTTCCTCTCTAATGTGATGACTGATCGTGTATTTCTTCTTTTTGTTTGTTTATTACCTTACAGCTTTTCAATGCGTGCACTTTCAATGCTATGGCGTTCTGTATTAGCTCGATTGTTTATTCTGCCACCTGAGACACACATGGATGCACCATTGTTTCGAGCAATGGTACATATTCTTATGAAAGCCAAAAATACGTAAGTTTATTCCTTTTTCCGTCACGTATATGTACATTTAGAATAGATAGATTGATAAACTGTTGACCTGATTTTATGTTTACCTTTTTAGATTTGTGCATTTTTCAAATCTTCCCAACTGTTTGGCCAGTTGTCCAGTCTTTAAACTGTTTCCACATGACCTTCAAAGTGTAAGCTGTTCTTTTTAAAAAAATAATTTGAATTTATGTTAATTTAAAGTAACCTGATGGTTGGTGACTGTAGCAGTAGTGGAATCCAGGGTGGGCGTTCACTATTGTATGTACCTGTATTCACCTGTATTCCCAGTGAGATTCCAACTCCCAGGCACTCATTGTTTCTTCAATCGCCCAAAGCCTCATAACGTGCTGTCCGCCTTCATGGTTTAAATGTTGCATAGGTCAAATGATGATTAGGGGATTGGTTGATATCATGCCGAATAAAGTAACTTAGAGGGGGGGGGTAAATAGAGTCACCTCACCTTCTTATGCTATATCTTCTGAATGTTCCAGGCCTTGGAATGGAACCCGAACGGAAAACGACAAGCTGGGCATGGGTTTCAGGGCAATATGTGGGTAATCGCGGAAACAGGATGAAGCGATGTAGCGTAGCACTCAGAAACCAATAGAGGAGTAATATATAACATAATACTAAAAAGTATTTATTCTTACCTAATACTAAGTCGGTATACTGGTATTTTTCGCTAAAACCTAAGTGGGAATACCTAACTGTGCTCTACAAGTCTGAATTAAGGCCCAGTAGCTGTTCGATGTCATAGTCTACACCATACATAACTTGTTTACAGGAATTCATCATGAGCTGACATCGGATAGAGAACCTTTGAAAATCACCTGGGAGTAGTGCTACTGGACAGCCATTTCATCAGCCTAATTTGGGACTGCTCATAAGCACGCCTCCACTCTCAGGGTTCGACCCAAGGACCTTCCGGTTACACGGTGGCCAGTCCATGAATTCCAACTTCCGCCTACTCCCAGTTGGTGGTTTTTCAATGGTACTCTAACCAGATGACGTTAGCCCATGATGAAATTCCTGCAAATTATTAATACTTGAATTCAAATTGTTTAATTGTCTCTTATATGTATTAGTGTTACTATTATTATTTAACTTTTTTATGGTGTTATTCTTTTCTTGTTGTTTACAGTACATTCTAAATTCTGAAATAGCCATAAAGAATTATACAATTTCACAACAGAATGCTTCTTTAACTAAGGTTAGTCGGTTAGGTGATTCACTTCAGTTTATCTGTTCTTCATGTCTTGTGCTTTAATTGTTGCTTAGTAGTATTGTATAAACGATTTTATTTTAATTTAATCGAATAACTGGCTTTTTCTTATTTCACTCTTTTGACCCCCCCGCTTCTTTGTATGCAGAATTTAACAACTACTGGAAGTAATCCATCGAATCAACTTGTCAGTGGTAGTAGTAGTGGTGGTGCTGTTGCCGGTGTCGCTGGTAGTGGCAGCGGTGGTGGACATTATCAACAACACGCTGAATCATTGACCCCATCGACTAGTTTAAATTTAACCATGTCAACGTCTACGACTACAAATGACGTCTGTTTAAAAGCGCCTGATGCACCAGAAGAAAGTATTTCTGATCGTATCTACTTTTTATTCAATAATGTATCAAAGGTGAATGCTAAAGAGAAATCAAATGAATTAGCAAGTCTGCTATCTGAGGATCGATTAATCCCATGGTTTGCATTTTATCTTGTGAGTAAACGTATCCCTGTTGAACAAACATTCCATGATCTGTTTGCAATAGTTCTTGATCATATACAAGAACGTGTACCAAATGTGCGACCAAAGGTGATGTTTGAACTTATCCGACATATCAAGGTGAGTGTGTGTGTGTGACATCGTTATTTTTTGTTTCTTTTTGTCTTTGCCTCACATCCCGATACACGTCAGGTTTTCATAGAGTAATGTATGGAGATGTTTTTGTTTTACAGTGTGTGGGTGGGGTGGGGTTTGATAGTCCCTTGCCAAAACCTTCTTTCTTATAGGGTTTTTAGGATCAATTACTTAACCAAAGTGAGATTAATTCAAATGAACTGTCGTCAAGATTTGACAGAATAGTTCTAAAATATATTTGGGCACCGAGTGAGAAGTAGACATTTGTAAAATCGCGAGATTGAAGTGATTAATTCCAACGTTTACTACGTTTGGAAATCTGGTCCGAATTTCTTCAGGGAAATTAATCGGAATTACCAAAACACAGAGGTTTATATATAAAAAGGGGGTTTTTAAAAACTTTGTCCAGTCATGATTCATAAAACAAGTGTAATAAACAAAATTGTATGACCCCCGGGATGGGGGTACAGAAAGATGTTTGTCTTTTCGTATCACCAAATACTGTGCTCTAAAGGGTTTTCCCCAAAACTCACGATAGCATCTCAAGGAGTTCAGTCACACGTCATTTATTGGACGATGATCATATGATGACGTGTATAGCAAAAGGCTTCATAGTTATTAATAAGCAAGCTAATGGAAAAGAGCTCTTGTTTTGTTTTTTCTTGTTGTGAAGCTTTCGCAATCAGATTTATGCATACATAATCTACCTTTTTTGATGTGGTTTTGTTCTCTGAGCTGGGTGGTTAGTTTGCGAAGCTTTCATCACCTTACTGGGTGACATCTTCAGCGCATACTTTAATTTGAAGTGAGCTTTTAGATTTCTCCACGAGTTTATTAATCATCTCTCCTCGTGACCTTGGACGTGATTGGTTGTTTGTGTGTGTTTTCACACCTTCTAGGTTACCTGTATTGGAACCGGTTGTTTCTTTGACTTGAACTTTGACCCTTTGTGTGTGAAGTTTCTTTCTTATTGGTTGATAAATTTTGTCTATGTCGATGTGTCTATTGATTGATGATCCACTGGAATGCCAAGCTTCTAAAAATTCTCTAGCATTCTTGTTATTTCCTTTGTCTAATATTTGAACGTTGTCCCAGTCGAATTGATGTCCGTAGTTGTCTGTGTGTAGTGAAATGAGAGAGTGGATATCATGTCTTTTGACGGCTAGCTTATGTTCGTGGATACGAAGACGAAGGGGACGTCCACTTTGGCCAATGTAGTGTTTTTCGCAGTTGTTACAGTTTATTTTGTAGATGATGTTGGTTTTGTCTTCTCTCGCTGTTGAGTCTTTCGGTTGACATAGAATTGAGTGCAGCGACTTTGTTGGTTTGTGTACGACGTCAATTCCTAAAGGTTTGAAGAGTCTTGTAGTGATTTCTGAAATATCTTTTATATATGGTAAGGCAATTTTCTTTGTGCTTTCCCTCATTTCACTACACACAGACAACTACGGACATCAATTCGACTGGGACAACGTTCAAATATTAGACAAAGGAAATAACAAGAATGCTAGAGAATTTTTAGAAGCTTGGCATTCCAGTGGATCATCAATCAATAGACACATCGACATAGACAAAATTTATCAACCAATAAGAAAGAAACTTCACACACAAAGGGTCAAAGTTCAAGTCAAAGAAACAACCGGTTCCAATACAAATAACCTAGAAGGTGTGAAAACACACACAAACAACCAATCACGTCCAAGGTCACGAGGAGAGATGATTAATAAACTCGTGGAGAAATCTAAAAGCTCACTTCAAATTAAAGTATGCGCTGAAGATGTCACCCAGTAAGGTGATGAAAGCTTCGCAAACTAACCACCCAGCTCAGAGAACAAAACCACATCAAAATCATCCACCTGAGCTACAAATCTTCTCGATAATATCTATAATCTACCTTGATAGAATACTTTTATTTTACCTTTATAATTCTCCGTCTCTTCCTTTTCTTCTTCTTCTCCTCCTCGACGGGCAGTTTTAGCTAATATTGGGTGGTCAAGTTGGAAAAGAGCCACTGGTGGCCAAACTAAAACATGGCTTCATTAGTCAATGAAATCCACAACATTTAGTTGAAGTCACGTATTAAGGTGTAGACTTCCTGACTGGTTGGAGTCCTCGAGACGGTAAACACCAATCAAGGTTGGAGAAAATTGGTGAAATGGCTCAAACTCATCGTTATTAATGGTGCAGATGCATCCACTCCTTGTGACTTATGATACCCAATAAAACTTAATCGATCTTCGAAATTACTATTCTTCTTGCCTTGTATCTCTGTTTACTGTCTCTTTTCTGCCTTTCTTTTTACTTTCTTCTGCTTCTCTGGCTTTGTGTGCCGAGTGAAGTGTGGCGACTCGAAATGTCGCATATCTGTGCAGAGTTCTATGTTGAAACCAGTCAGTCAGTCTTCTCTCATTTCATCATTACAAGATATTTTTTGACATTGATTATGATACCTAACATAATGTTTGTTTCCTTAGGGGATGATACCTGTGCAAATCGAAAAATCATAGCTGAGTCTGTTCATCATGGTGAGGCGTGTCCATCAAACTATCGTTTATGAGTTTAGATCAAACATGTTACAATCTTGTTATTTAGCCCTAAATGTTAAATTTGTTGGTTTGTTCATTAGATGTATCACACAGTCAGTGTGACAGTATTATTTACTGGATGACTTGTCGGAAAAAATTTATTGTTCATAATCATTTCATCAATTGTAATCACACGACTTCGAAACTTGACTTTTATAGTTTTCTTTGTTCTCTATTTGTCGTCATTGGGGTAGAAGAATTTTCCAGATATCCAGCTGGACAGGTGTTGAATCATTCCCATTACATGTATTTACACTTAATTCGATAAACAAAGCTTCGGTTATCAATCTCTCCTTCCACCCCTGTGACATTAGATTTCAGAACTGTCATCCTATTGTGTTGTTGTGTGTAATTGCATGTGAGTGATGTGGTATAGCTGAGCTATTCTCTAGATTTCTTATCTTATTTGTGTCAACCAATCTGGATTTCGTTAGGTTTTTATGTTCGGCTAGCCTGACTTCCCCTATTCTACTAGTTTGACCTATGTATTCGACCTCACCGACAATCATCACAGGTAGGGTATTAGATAAACTAAATTGTTTTGTTTTAAAGGCTCCGCAGGATTGATCCTTTAACCGACAAAGCTTGTTTCTTATTGAGTTCGAAACGTCATCCAGTAAATACTAATACTGTTTTACTCTGTGTGTGATACATCTAATAAACAAACCAATATGGAATTACCTACTACCACAGTGCCCAAGTTTTACACGTATATTAAATTTGTGTCTTTTAATGGAGTTTCCTTGCATTTTATTATTATTATTATTATTACTATTATCATTCGTCATCGCCTCCCTCGACGAGCAATGTTAGCGGATATAGGGTCAGGTTGGAAAAAGCTAGCGGCGGTCAAACAAAAACTTGGCACCAGTCAATGAAATCCACAACAGTTGGTCTAGGCCACGTAGGAAGGTGTAGACTTCCAGGCTGGGGTCCTCGGGACGGTAAATATCTATGGTTGGAAACAATTGGTGACATGGCTCAAAATCGTTCTCAGTGGCTAGCGCAGATGCATCCACTCCCTGTGACTTATGATCTTCAATGAAACTGTTTTGTTTTTCGTTATTACTCTTCCTTTGTCTCACACCTCTGCTCACTGTTTCTATTATGCTTTTCTTGTACTTTCTTCTCTTGCTTCGCGTGCTACACGGAGTGTGGCGACTTGAACTTCCGCACATTTGTGCAAAGTTCTTTGTCGAAAATAGACAGACAGACGGACAGATTATTATCATTAGTATTAGATCCAGGTGTTTATATTAATATGTACTTTGACCAGTATTATTCACTTCTTAATAATGACGTTAACAGATATTGAGATTGACACATTGTTGAGACAGATTTATTCCCCTTCTGTATAATCATGGCTTCTAATGTTTGTTTTCAATTTTTTACATTAATTTTATGCTCACCAGTTTATTTTATTGATTTTCTTCAAATTTTTCTCTCTCTCTCTACAGTTTCTGTTACGCAATATGCGTCTCGATAAAGATGATATGCAAGCCCGTAGTACATTGAAAAATTTTGGCAGTTTTCTTGGTCTTATCACTCTGGCGCGTAATAAACCAGTCCTGCATGATGATTTAAACATTAAAGATCTTATCTATGAAGCGTATTATAAAGGTCCTATACCTACACAGTATGTAGTACCATTTGTTGCGCGTGTTGTTCGTGGAGCTACTGAAAGTTTAGTCTTTCGTCCGCCTAATCCATGGACTATGGCAATACTCAAGGTGTTACGTGAATTATACGATATGGATAATGTGAAAGATTGTCTACGATTCGAAGTAAGGATTATGTTAGATACATATGTGTGATAATCAATATTTACATTTCTTTGTATCCATTTATCTATTTTATTCCTTTACATTTCGAGTGGAGCCATAGCATTAAGGCTTCAAGCTAGAGACTTGAAATTTCACAAGCAGTGAGGTTGCTAGCCCGCATATGCTGCCCAACCTCTTTCGTCTTTACCGGCCCTACTCGTCGCCCCTCCCCTCTCGGGCCTAGCGAGGTATAGTTAAGTGTGTGCCGTCCGGGGATCGGATCTTGTACCTTTGGCTTGGTGGTCGTTTGCGAGCGTTCTGTATCTACCGCTGAACCACTGGCGCCTGCATGTCAAAGTGACTTCTACTCAAACGAGACGAATTAAGCAAGCAGTTACGTAATCTTGGTAGATCCTCATCAGGGCTTACATTTACTTAGTGAAGTATTAGTAGTCATAGGTATTTTGAATTAATGTGGTTATTAAAATATACAGGATAGGAGTATTCAAGGAGTTGGGGTTGGCACCACTATGTGTGAAACCTCTGATTGACTTTACGATTGCTTTACGTAACCACGTTGAACAACAATGCTCCAGAAGGCGACAATGTGCTTTCCGAGTCGTCCTACCTAACTAACTACTGCCTCCACATGATGAACAGTTAGATTCATGTGAATGCACATTGAAGTGTAACCAGACTAGGCAGAGTTGGAATTATGCAACGAGTAAGACTTATTTTAAACACAGTGATGCTTCAAAGAATGTTTTACCCAGTATTTTGCAAAGTTTCGTGATAAATCAGTGTGTATGAGAGTTACTGTGACTACATTTGCATAAAATGTTTTGCCATTTTATTCAAGCATTTTCAAATATCTTGAATCGCTGGTGGGGGGTGGGGTGGAGTTCACTGTTAACGTTTCGGTGGAAAAAATGTGACTTACTGCCTGAAACACACGCACAACTTCTTGAGAGAAAAATATTGTCTCCTATGCTTAAATATCAGTCTTCATATTTTTTTAGTTGAATGGAACAGTCCCCTTATTAAGTCATAAGCAAAGGACGTAAACAGAGAATAAAATTTCTTTGCTGCGATTCATTTTCATAATCTGTTTAAGGGATTCATAAGACCAATCAGATACTGGTAAAATTTGTCTTGCAAAATATATGTTACATAATATGAAGGCGTTACCTATAAAATTAGAAAAAGGAGGCAGAGGTGCATCGGTAGTTAGAACGCTCGCCAACCACATGTATGTATGGTCCGGGGTTGATCCCCCACCGATGCACTCCTAGACCTCACTAAGTCGGTAGTGTAAGACCGGTAAATAGGGAAGGTTGGACATGTCCCATGAAACTGATAAAACTACTGCTAGTGGAACTTCAAAGCTCCAGCTTGAAACCCGCTTATGTCCCACTCGGAACGGAAAGGAATAAACGAAAAACAGCTTATAAAAGGGGGGGGATGAAGTTGGGATGACGTAATAAGTGTGGGAAAACGACTAATTATTGTAATTGTATAAAGTAGTAAATAATTTGTGAATAGATGGTAAAGTGTTTGTATAAAATACAATGCTTTTATTTCAAAAATAATAGAGTGATTTTAAGGTAAGGATAATGAGAATAATAGCAATAAGAATGATAAACTTACAATATGAAGCGAAATTATGATAAGAACGTTTTTAGTCTGGCCGTGCCGTATGGTGGGTGGTGAGTGAATGTGTGCAATGCTTTTGAACACACAGAAGTCCACTTTTAAATGCCGAATAGGTCTTGAATATTTTTAATTGTACAAGGAATTTTCCCAGACACACGGGAATATACAACTTCTGAGATATGATATCAGCGTTTATTAAAGCCGTTGTGAAAGGCTTGTTTAAGCGTGTCAACAGGCTTGCACATGTCTCATATCTCTCTAAACAAATGTTACTTAGTGCTTAGCGAATTACACTGAATAAGTGAGAAACATAAATAACTGGCAATGGTTGCTAAAGTTTGTGTGGAAGTCTGACCAAAAAGTTACTTTCCCTTCCTTTTTGCATTGAAAACCAGGGTTGGTATATCAGAGCGTTGCCGTGGTATTATGCTTTTTTCCTAACTGGTTCCGACTTTATTCATTTCTAACTTTTCAATTTACAGATCGAAATCCTCTATCGAGCTTTTGACTTAAATCTGAATGAAATACCCTCAGCACATTTCCTGCGGGATCCAACGCATTCCTCAAATCTAGACATAGAACTTTGCTTTATTGCTACAACGACAACAACAACAGGGACAAGTGTAACTACTACAGGTCAAATTGTTATCGCAACGACGACTACCTCTGGAATAACTAGTCTTGATACATCATCAATTTATTCTGGTATTAGTTCTTCGACAGCCGCAGGAGAGTTGTCTGTAGCAGCTATGACTCTACCAACAACAACATTCTCAACTGGACCATCTGTCTCAAGTTTATCGTCCTCATCATCACAACAACACCAGCAACAGCAACAAAAACAACAACAAGTCTCCAGTCTGTATTCCTTAGTTCAAAAACAACAAGTTTCTACAATGGAGTCTTTATCGTCGGCACAACAACATCAACAACAACAACAATCTGCTTATTCGGTAGGTTCAATGGTAGGTCCTCATGTTGAATTTTTGGCGGCCCACTTAAACTTGAGCTACAGAGGGAACCCCCCATCAATATATTGCATATAATTTCTCCTATTCGTTTTATTTAAACGACCTCTAATAGTATTGTTTACTCAGGGGAATATCTGAAACATTTACAACCTGCTGATTCAGATTTTTCCACTAATCATGAGAAGAAGCCTTCTCGATGACCTGATTATCCTGATAGATGTGATGACCGTTCTTTGGTCCACCAAAATGTACTCTAACTTTTTATAATTGGTGTTACACCAAATGTCGTCGTGTATTTCTCTAAAGAGACAAAGGAGAGGTATCATAATGGTGGATTGGTTTGCTTTTCACGTCAGATAGAATTGTGTCATAGGATCCACTGTCAGTTGTACAGAATAAAGCTTTACTACTTAGGGAAAAAATAATGACTGTTATTAATCCTTGTGTTCAGACTTGAATATTGGGCTTCGGTTGCTATCTGTCATCACTTTCAACCTAGTCTATAACTCTGTTCACAATGATTTCATTTCCATGATGATCTTTTCTATGGCGTCCGCAAATGTTCAACCCGTCACTTTTCACTCGAGTTCTATTCAAAGGCCCGGCGCTTGATGCCATTCACTGACGGCCTTCTCAGTGTATATTTGATCTATTTGGTCACTTGTTTGGTGAAAGATTTTTGGCTTGCGGGCACTCAGAGTTTCGTATAGGGTTTATCCTCCGTGCTCAGCGAAGGCGCATCTATATCGATGGAACTCTTCAGTGGACTATTTAGCGATCAGTGTCTGTAAGTATGGTATTGCGCTTTCCACCGTCTAAGTGCAACATACTGTCACAAGATTGGCAGGATCCTGTACCTGAACGCACTTTTCCAGGTGAACTGCTTGAAGTTGTAGATAAGTCCGTATATCTGGGTATTTGTTAGAGTGTTTGTGGAACTGCTATGGACGAAATTTCCAACCGTATCATAAAGCCGAGGGTCGCATGTGTCAACTTGAGCCATGCCTGGCGCCATCGTGACGTGAGCCTGGGTGTGAAAGGTCGGGTTTACAATGCTACGGTGCACTCAGTCTTACCCTACGCATGTGAACCCTGGTCTCTCTGAGCTGATGATGTGTGGCGACTCTGTGCATTCGACCATCGCTGTCTCCGTAAGTTGCTTGTGACCGATGGAATCATTGTGTGAGGAATTCTGAGGTTCGGCAGCGTGTTTGGACACGTTGGAGTTTACCAATTATTGAGTGTCGTCATCTGGGAACACTGTCTTTGGTATGTTGCACATACGCTACGAATGTCATCTGAGCGCCTGCCAGTCAGTCTGTTCACAAATTTTTTTGAACTGGATGGAAAAAGCAGAGAGGGTGGTCAGCGAGCACATGACGTGACATCGTAGAATGGAGAGGGTATTTTCAGTTGGGTTTACGTCAAGTGATACACCACGACACACTCATAGGGATCCTGGAGATAGTTTGAGTCGGTTTCTCGAAACGTAATCGGATATGGCCAAGAAACGGAATCATCGATGGCTAATGGGCAGCAAACTCCTTCTTTATTCCATTTTTGACAGTGGGTGATTCGGCGAATGCTGTTGGATTTGGTTAAATATAGCTGCATTCTTTCCTGATGAAGTCTTTTATTCATTCTCTGCCTATTCTTGGTACCTATATTGTATCAGGTTTTCTGTTTTAAATAAAATATAAAGCAATGGACTGTTGTAAGTGTTTTTAACTGAAACGGCATTTACTCAGATTTCTCGCTTATGTGCTATAACTAATCCTTCTAACCTCTTTGTTAGTCTTGTAAAAATGAAATATTATCTTTAAGCAAATCATTTATTGAATTATTATCCTCTGTAATGCATAGAAATTATCTTACATTAAGAGGCTCCCATGGTGTTACTTTTTTATATTATTTTGAAAGTTATTATTTTTTTCACCTGTATCTAGGCTGCTGGTTTAGATATTGCCAATTTAGTTCAAAACTCTACCGGTTCCGGTGCAAATCCTAACCGTCAGACAGCAGCAGCATTCGCTGCCGCTGTAGCCGCAATCAAGAAACAGCAATTCGGTGGTCCCCCGGGTACCTGTCCATCAACCTCAGTATTGTCTATGCAACAGCATCAACAACAGTTGAATGCTGCTATGGCTGCATTTCAGCATACACCGGTGGCTGCTGCAGCAGCTGCGGTGGCGGCCGCGGCTGCACAACAACAACAGCAGCAAGCTCAACTATCTCATCAACAGTCGTCTGCAACACCACAAGGTGTCCTGCCTACTCACAATAACTCTCTGCCTCAATCCGTTGTTAACGGGCAGTCGTCGACAGCTACTACTGGCTCATCATTGAGTAAGTGTGTTGTTTTGATGGTGAATTATTGGTTTTTGTATTTTTTTTTAATTATTAGCCTATCATTGTAATTTCTCCAATCGGCTGCTGTGCATGAGGAGAAACCACTTCCTGTTATCCAAGTGCTAACTCATTATTGGGTGCTTGTGTGTTTGTCATCCAACTTGTCTGTCTGACTTTATCTGAGGAGAAAAAATCAGTCTGGAAGGTGTCATTAGTTTTATTTTTTGGGTTGTGGGTTGTTGTCTCATTATTATTACTCAATTGGCTTCTCTGTTAAAATTTCTTCAAAGGCCTCCCTGAGTATAGTTTTAGAATTCCTGTGTGGACTTTATTGTTTTCATGTTTAGTCACTTTATCGTTTTCTCCACCCTCTGCGCCGCCGCCTGTATTCCACGATATTGAGTTGAGTCCTCGAGTTTTATTCAATTTATCCCATAACCGAATGAATACTGAAGTAAGACAAGGCTGTCTTCCTATTGTCACCGATGATATTTCTGGATGACTGGATTATGCGTCAAACTGTGGGGAGCGAGGAGAAAGAAAAATACGTTGGGCCACCTATAAGATGGCTTTAGACTCAGCCGACATGTGTCTAATGTCACACAAACTTGAAGCCTTATAGGCGAAAACCAACAAACTGGCTGAAGAAGCAATCAGCGAAGACGGGATTGCAGGTAAACATAGAGAAGACAGAGTTCATGAAGATAACCAACTGCCACCACCACCAATCACCATCAACTGGAGAGACTTGACAGAGGTTGCCTCCTTCAACCAAAGGCCGGCTGAACGGACGAAGATGTCAAAGTCAGTCAGTCAGAATCAGAAAGGCAAGATACTCCTTCATCAACCTGAAACCAGTTTGTGGAAGTCTTCTGTACTCAGCGTAAGGAATAAGATTCGAATTCCTTCTCTTCAGTGGAACAAACCAACAGGCGAGAGCCAATTGCGCAACAAATATGTAGGAGAAAATGGAAATGGAAACCATCGAGTGAGATATCACTCAGAATGCTGCAGGCCATAACTCGAGTGAAATCCAAATGCGAAGCAACGAGTAGGTCGTAAGTATGAGGCTGACTTGAAGGAGATTAAGATAACAGGAGGAGGAGATGAAAGACAATGGACAATCATGGGTTATGTTAAAGAGAACCACAGGAAATAAGAAAAAGTGGAAACTTATGTTTTTGAAGCTTTATATTCTCGGAACCCGAAGGTAAAATAATAATAATAATCACTGGTTGGGAGTTGAACGTCTACACCAGTGAACATCAGTCCCTATGTCATAAACGCATATATTATGGCTCATAATTTCACACTGAATCACATATCATCACGTCAAAGTCGCATCATATATGCATTATAAGATGTCTACTAAACTTGATGTGTTTCGTAATAAATCACTTCTTTTGATAGATTCGCTTCCTTTTAGATTGTTAGTTTTAATTTTTATAAGAATTTTAAAGATTCTGTTATTGTTTGCCGCTTTGATCTAATATGCTTTACTGAATTTCTCATTTCATAACTATAGGTGGTGATATGGGCGTTGGTAGTGCTGGTGGCGGCGGTACCATGTTCACTGGACATTTATTACGTTATGAAGATGTGAATATCCGTAGTATTCGAGCCTGTTTGAATTTGGATGAACTGCTGACTAACGCAGCACTTGGTAGTCGAAATAGTGGTACTAATCCGAATGCAATTACTGCTGCATTTGCGCTACTACAAGCAAATCCTCGACTGCGTAGTTTAATTGAACCTGCTGTTATACGAGCCATCAATGAATTGACTACCCCAGTATTTGAACGATGTGCACGTATCACTGTGACTACAGTTGTAGCAAGTGTTCGTAAAGACTTCGCCCTAGATCCAGATCCTGGACGTATGTTATACGCTGCGTGTCAAATGATTCGACATCTTGCTGCTGGAATGTCATTGATTACTGCAAGAGAAGCTTTGGGAATGTCATTAGTGACTAGTTTAAAAAATATTCTTGCTGAAGTACAATCGGCTACTGGTCAAGAGAAAGAAGCTGTTCAACAATTGGCCTATCTGGTCGTTGGTCGAAGTATGCATGTTTGCCTAGCATATATGCAAAAGTCAGTTGCAGAGAAAGCTGTGAAAGAAGTTGAGAAAAAGTTAGAAGGTGAAATTAAACTTCGTACTGAACTTGGTCCCATACGCTTTATGGAACAGGCTGTCAATCAATTGTCACCTCAACAATCCTCTATGCCTGATTGTCTACGCCTTTCTGTAAGTACTTTGTATTTGAGAATTTTGCGCGCGTGTGTGTCTCATGATGTTTCACTTGTGCATCATCCCCAAATATTGTTTCTTTATTTTTTCAAATTATAGACTGGTGGTCCAAATGCAGTTGAAATGGCTGTTTATGAAGAATTCGGTCGCATTATCCCAGGATTTGCTTCAAGTCCACCTGGAACTAATACATCCACTTCATCATCACTTTTACCTCCTGCAACTTTAAATTCACTTACACCGAATCAACCACCAATTTCTCCATCTGCTGTAAATTCAGCCGCTACTATGGCTGCATATCTTCAGTTGTCTGCGACACAGAAACAACAGCTTTCTTCTGCTGGCCTACTTCAACGACAGGCGGTTGCTCCGACTGCTGCCGCTGCTGGTGTTGTAGGCAGTGCATCTGGAGCGTTTGTGAAACCACCTTATTCATCAACTGTTGGATCTCAACAGCAACAACAATCAGCTCCTTATCAGGTGAGTTGCAGTTTGATGAATGGTTCATATGTGTTTAGAAAAGGTGGTATCTGTGTAAGTCTTAGTAGAGATTGTTATGCAGCTGTCCGCCAGAACCCTTTTGCTTCTCGAACTTATTCATTGGTTTAAGTTTACGAATAGCTACCTAATCGGCCTCAGTGTATTTCAATATACACCCTTGACCATTTTTGGAAGTATAGTCTTAAAGGCTGTTTTGGCATCAGTCTTGTAGTTCATAGATCGAATTTCCAAAGTTCATCTGTTTTTCTAAGCATTCTGGGATATGTTCTGCCATCCTCACTTGCAAAGTGCTGTTACTTCCCCTCCTTGTGAGTCAGTGTCCACACACACACACACTTAAATTGGTATATAGTTTGGGAGTGTGACAAACTCACTTGTACACTTTGAGGTGTAGAGTGGAGCAATAACGGGAGGAATTTGAAAAAGGAGTTCCTTCATTCACTCACTTATCTAGGGAGCATTGTCTCAACTACAAGAAGTCGGAACGGACGAGGATGTCAATCGAGCGAGAAACACATTCATCAATCAACTGAAACCAATCTGGAAATCTTCGTCACTCAGCCAGCATCAACAACAAAATTCGGTCGGATTTTCGATACAAACAAAAGTCAAGTCAGTCAGTTCTTCTATACGGATCAGAAACTTGGCGGGCGGGTCAAAAATAATATTTCCAACAGCTGTTGCAGACCTTCATCAACAACTGTCTTCGCTGGCTCTATACTGAAGATCAGATCAGATGGCCGGGCCGGAAAGAATCACCTCCAACAAGAGACTATGGGAACAAACAAAACAAAACAGGAACCAATCGCCAACCAACAAATATGCAGGAGAAAGTCGAGATGGATTGGACACTCACTCGCTGAGGACGCCGCTGGTGACATCGCGCGCGCGTCAGGCCATCGCTCGAGTGAAATCAGGCCGAAAGGGAAGCGGCGAGTGAGACGTCAGTGCAAGGGTGACATGGAGGAGATCGTGTGAAGAGGAGTTGAAAGAGTATGGACTAACTAACACGGATGCAGGTGAAACGTACAGCAGAAGGAAGACAGAAGTGGCAAGTAGAGACGTGCAGTTGTGAAGCCCTATGTTCCACTAGGAACCCAAGGGAACAATAATAATTATAAACCAAACTACATAATAAATTCTGTAGATGATCAAGTGTAGTCTCTGTCTTAAACTCCTTCCCCATTTACTTCCCCATCCTTAGGGACAACTTCATCTCTAACTAAAACACATCGAATCGATATGTGAACCACAAAGATTGATGTTAAAACAGGTTTCACGACTACTTTTAAAAACGATCAAGGGCGTTTATTTAAATTCGCTGGGGTGATTAGCTATTCGTAAACTTAAATCATCCTCCCTTAACTACCTACCTACTTAGGTGATCCTAATCCTTATCCTATTGGATATCCACAGGTAGTGTTTATTACTCTTATCATTTTTAAATCCTTTTTATCGCCTTGTGTTTTTAATTGGTCTATATTTTGCGCATAAACTGACTTGATAAGTAGTTGCGTCAGGGATTACATTGTTCGATAAGTGTGTTGCACAAATACAATTTATTTGAAAAAGACTTTCATGTATATAAGTGGATTTTTATTAAATGCTTTCCTACAGGCCCCATTGGCAGGTTTATTTGACAAGATTATTGGACAAATTGAGCGTCATTTAGTCGCTATATCTGGAAGATTACGTCCTGCAAACGATCCAATGTGTCGATCGCTACGTTGTCTAATCGATGCTATCCACTTGGCCAAGTCTAGTCGTGATACAAATATCGCCAGCAATGTGATTACTGTGATGGTGCAAAGTTTTCTGGAACATTATCGACCAAGTTATTGGCGTGACCAGCCTCGTGGCTTGGAGACAATGGAACATCTTAAAGAGGCTCATATGCTTACTCTACGGCATTTGTTGTCCTTCGAACAATCTCCATTCGGTTATGCATGGGTTACGCGTCAAGTGAGTGTTGTTATTAAGCTTAACTTTATAATAATAATTTGCTTTATTCCAAAACTGTACTTGTGATACACAGAATGGAATTCTCAGCAATTCACTACAGTATTGCATCCAGTTTGCACATTAACAATAAATAAAATTTTACATAAACTATGGGTAATCTCAGTTAGTTTTGATAACAACATATTAGCATGTCGGTAGCAAAGCCAAAATTAAACAAACTGTTTGAAGGTGTTAGAAAATTAGATACTACTAGCATATGTACTGGCGTAAGCGGTAAGAAAAAGGTCTAGATATACAGAGTGTGAAAGAACGAAGAAAAATTTTTTAAGTAGAGTTTGTAAGGAAGAGAGAAACGTAACAGCACATAACAAAAAAATGATAAATCATATGAGTTGGGAAGGCGTGATCCAGTTGTTCTACTGACTATTTAATAAGTTATAGGTATCACGCCTAATGCTTTCTTTATCACACAGAACACGAGCTAAGTAGGGTATGGTTGAGTTTTTGTACTCTCCAGTGTGGGCATATAGTTTTCTATATAGACTTCTGGTTTTCCCTGAAGAGATACAAGGGGAAAGTTGAGAATGAAGAGGGTGGTGTGAGTTAGATAGGTAGAATGGATTTAGCCCATTTTTCACATCAGTCCATGTGCCTGTCAACCAGAATATTAACGAGCTGGTTAAGTGGCACGTAGCTTACCCTGCTGACAACCTTTAACACCCTGCGTTATAAGGTATAGTCCTTCTTCAGTGGCCCTGGAAAAACTAAGGTGGAACAATAGAGAATAATAGACAGGATGTAAGAGTTAAAGAATCGTAAGAGTAAGGGTTGGGTTATTCCAGAATGTCTTAACTTCTTGATGTAGAAGGTTAGACAGAATATTTTCTTAGAAATCATCAAGATATGAGACGACCAGGAAAGATCAGAAGATAGAATGACGCCTAGGTATTTAATTTCCGACTTGGTCTCTATTTCAGGGCCATCTATGTTGCACACCTCGTGAGTGCTGACCAGTTTGTTTAGGTCAGATTTATGCTAAAGGTGAAATTGACTGTTTGACATTTAGAGGGATTTAAGGTAAAACTATTTTCCTTTGACCACTGGCTGATTTCTGATAAAAGCTATTAACTTGATTTGATGATGAGAATACTAGACTTCTTTCGAAGTATTGCATTCTTCGTTTGTTGTAATATAAAGAAAATCTTTATAGGTAGACATTTTCAAAGCAAAATATTGAGTGAATATTCATATACTTTTCAACTAAATCCTCATCCCCTGCTCTACTCTAATATGTGTAGCATTTTCAACAACACATAATACACAGCGTTTTACCTGCCAAGTGGCACTGATAAGTTTTTTGATAATAAATTTTTTGTATCTTTGCGTTCCCTTCAGTGGAAAATAGAGCTTCAAGCTAGAGCTGTGAAGTGTTGCTAGCAGAGGTATTGGTTTTTACGGGATAGGAAGGTTCTTCTTTTATTTACTAGTCTTATTTTTGGCTTAGTGAGGTGAAGAAGTGCGCCGGTGGTCGGGTACTGAGCTCCGAACCATATGAGGCGTGGTTGGCGAGCATTCTACCACTGTGCTACTGATGCATATTTGACAATAATTTGGTCAATATCAATATGTCAAACCGCTAGAGTGAAAATTATCGAAGAATATTATTACACACAATTAAAAGGTAGAAATGGTTATAATGATTGGATTGCATAATGCATAATTTCGGAGGAGTGAAGAGTGATTAGGAAACAAGTCAATGCTCAAGTTGATCACGTAACACGTAATCGAAAGGAAATTGCAGTAATTTGACTAATGATGACTTGTAATTTGCTGCAGATGAAGTAGTTAGAAAAAAAGTAATTATTTAAAGACTTCGGTGGGGGATGGGGGGGAATTGTCAGTTCCTTACAACGTCCATCTAATTATATCCAATGTAAGGAAAATGGACGTAAGGATTGTTTTTTTTTGAAACACACTAGTTTGGTTTTTCAGGTGGATTTTTATGGCTCCAGCTGTAGTATTTACAGGAGTAAACTTGTAAAGCAAAATTAAGATTAGTAGGAATGCTATAAAATAACATCAACTTTATACTCGTTATCTACAAGATGTGCTAAACACAGAGCTAACTACGATTAGATCTTGTTTGTCCCTTTCTTAACCATTATGTGCAGGATGATGTTCGAAAATGCGATGTGATTAACGCGTCTAATTGTACGCCAAGTATAACTGAGCTCTACAGTTTCAGTTAAACTGATGGTTTCTCGCTTATCCTTCATTTTTTTAGAATTGTGTATTATACCGCAGTCTACTTGTTGTAACTATATCTACGTTTTAATAGTTTGTATTGATTTCCCGCGTTAATTATCACCCGTACCCGTTTGACTTGTTGATATTGACTAAGTATTGTTAACAAATTTATGAATGATATTTGATTGGTACAGTCCTGTGCTGGGGACGTAGTTGAAAAGTATATATATGTACATATATTTGCTTAATGTTTTTACTTTCTTCATCTGCATCGTTTTCTGTCTAACTTAACCTTTCCTATTTTTTTTCTCTCTCAGGTAACATTTACATGGATTCATCTAGATGGTGGAAGCGGTAACCAGACTTCAATACCTTTATCATCATCAAATACTGGTGGCGGTGTGCCAACCTCTGATACCCTACAAAATCAGGAGGGTGATTTAAAATCTACCAGTGAAAAGACTCAACTCGATATGACAGATGCAGCTAATTGGGCAAGCTCTGGTTGGAAACAGGTAAATTTGTGTTTCTGCGTGTGTATGTGTTTGTTTATCGTCTTGATTTGAACGCTTTTCAACAAATTCCTTTCCGATTATTTTTTTTCTTTCACGATTTGACGTGGATTGTCTTCGTCTTGAGACCTGCTAATAGGCCCCAAAAACGAAACTACGTAATAACGACCTTGACGAACCTTTATCGATCAATCACATGCATCCGAAATAAAACCGCATCATTTTAAGAGAATGTTTATAGAATAGTAATGCAATGTTTAATCAAAGTGGTTACATGGCATAACCTTCTGGTATATATGTTCCAGGGTATCCCTCAATTTCTCATCGGATTCTTCACACACCAGTGAAACCAAATTATGTATAAAAATATCCATCGAGATAACTGTAAATCATCGTGTCTCTTGACCAACCCATTCATCGCCCTCATCCTCTTTTTTAGGCTAGGTGACTACATAAACTTTCTATTGATTTTGTGTGAGTCCCATCGAAAGGACTAACAAAATCGCCCGTGTGACTGACTGACCACGTTGTGAATGTAGCCCAGGGACCAGAGATGAAAGTCGGTTGTAACTACTCCATAGGTCTGTGTGATGAATGGTTGTACGAGGTGGGATGGACTAAACTTTGAAGAATTTTTTTCCTTCATGTTTCCAGTGGAACATAGGGCTTCAAGCTAATGGCTTGAAGTTTCTGTAGCAATGTTTAATTTTACAGAACTGGGTTGCTAGCCTTGTGCCCAACCTTTCGTCTTTACCAGCATTATTTCTGGTTTAGCAAGGTAAAGGAGTGCGTCCGTGGCCGGGACCCCGGACGATGGCATGGTCGGCGAGTATCCTAACCGCTGTGCTGCCGACGCATTGAACTTTGGAGAATAATCAGTAGTAAAACATTGACACTGCGATCAGGGATTGTGTGAATATTGTATCCTCTCCTCAGGGTGGTGTTGTGGTGTCATATAATCCGAGTTTCCACTGTTGACTATTACCGCTCAGTTTTACTGTTTTCTCCGTTCTTATGATGAGCCTGTTATCCAAGCATTATTTAAATACTAATTAAATCTGGATGAAATTTTCTACATAATTGGTGTCCAACCATCACATAATAGCTCCCAGATATACTACGGAATCATCTGATTCCATTTCTCGAATTCATTAAGTCCGTTCACTAAGTAGAATGTTTCGTTTTGGCTGTTATAGTTTTTAAAGGCATCCTCAATTGTGAACTAAAAAGAAATAATTCGATGCTTTAATTATTCTTTTCTGAATAAATTGCTTCATCAGGCATAAGAGCGAAAGGAGATTTTCTTTTTGACGAAGTCATTCGTCTATGTGTAGAGAGTTGAAATGCCTGATAATGTTCCCGTCAAGAATGCAAAATAGGCATTAAACATAATGTAAGATTAACTAAAATAAACAAGAAATTTGGATAAGAAATGTCATACTAAGGCAGATAATCGTATTATTTAGAGAATGAATTTTGTTTATGATAGCTCCATGGTAAAAATACAAAGTTTGAATGAATTTCGTTTGATGTCGCGTACTGCTTTGTTAGCTTGAACTTTGTAGATCTCTCCCTAGTCCCTTCATCTTTATACCCAGCTGACTTGATCTCTCACTTTCGTTGACAGGTGTTTGATGATTGGATCTTGTTGTTAGGACTTTGAAGGATTTTTCTAAATTGAGCTCTAAATGGCCTTAGTAACTCACTCCAGATGTTGTGTTAACAAGTTACACATATACCTACGTCCTTTTTGATGTAGTTGAGTTCTCTGAGCTGACTGGATTGTTTATTTGCGAAGCTTTCATTCCCCCTTACTAGGCAACATCTTCAGTGCATACTTCAATTTGAAATGAAGTGAGCTTGTAGAAATCTCGTGTTTATTAGTCATCTCTTCTGGGACCATCTTCAACGTGACTCGTTGTTTTGCGTGTTTTCGCACCCTCTAGGCTACTTGTATCAGTATGGTGTTGATTGTTTCCTTGACTTGAACACATCGAGATAGACAAAATTTACCAACGTCCTGCTTGTTCTAGTCAGACTCGATAGTATTCCCGAGCGTGTTATTTGGGATACCCAAATTCCTGGTGTTTGTTATATCCTCTTAAATCAGTTACACTTGTGTAGGGACTGATTATACTAAGTTGCCTATCTAAGTTAAGTAGACATGGAGGGGTTCAAACTTAAGACCTATTGGATAATTATTAGCCATACTGTCTGTCTGTTGTGGACATAGAACTTTGCACCGATATGCACCAGTTCAAGTCACCACACTCCATGTAGCACACATAACAAGAGAAGAAAGTAGAAGAAATGCATAATAGAGACAGTCTACAAAGGTGTGAGACAGAGGAACAGTAATAACGAAAAACAAAACAGCTTCATTGAAGATCATAAGTCACAGGGAGTGGATGCATCTGCGCTAGCCATTGGGAACGATTTTGAGCCATATCATATTGTTTCCAACCATAGATTTTTACCGTCCGAGGACCCCAGCCTGGAAGTCTACACCTTCCTACGTGACTGGCTGGCTTAAACTAACTGTTGTGGATTTCATTGACTGGTGAGGCCATGTTTTGGTTTTGACCGCCGCTAGCTCTTTTCTAGTCTGACCCTATGTCAGCTAACATTGCCCCGTCAGTTGAGGAAGGCGATGGTCAGGCATACGTAACACATGTCATATATATATATATATATATATATATATATATATATCGACTGAATGCTTCATGAGAGTGAGCACTGTTTTACTACTCTTTATTCTCATAAAGATGGATTTGTGTGTTTGGGTGTTTGTGGATTAAATAACTTTTTCTCTCTTCTTCTTTTCCCTTAGTTCACCGAGAACAATGGTATCAATCCTGGTACCTATGAGAATCGTTTTGGTCCAATTAAATGGAATTGGGAAGCATTTGCTGAACTCTTAAGAGTTCATGTTATCTATTTCTCTCAAGTAAGTTAGTTAATTAATTAATTATTCGTTACTTTATATACTGATTGATTTTGCCTTTGCTTTGCTTTCCTTTCTTATTTCATATTCACACTTATACTTATTTATAAATTTTATCACATTTTATTCTAGATTGATGCCTATCTCTCTCAAGAAGTATCAAAAGGTCATTCAGCAGCAATTACCTTTGTCATTGATCTATTAGATCATTTTATTCTGCCTAGTCCAACTGGTACATCATTAGGTGCTGCTGCAGCAGCAGCTGCGAGTTATGCTCGTGCTAACACCTCGTCGTCGTCAAACTCAATCGAATCCTGTCAGTACTGCTACATCATCATCATCAACATCATCCTCTGGGAATGTGAATGTCCCTCCAAATTCCACTAACACTACTGCTGGTAGTGGAGGTGGTAGTGGTGCTGGTAGCGGCGGCGGTGGTGCCAGTGGTGTCGGTGTCGTCGGGGGGCCAATATCTCCTTCAACCAAACGTGAATTCACTGTCCTCAATGAATATGATTTGTGGTCAACACTCGAGGCATTACGTCATCGTGTTGCTACCTTAATAATGCTACTACTGCTAATAATAATAGTCTGTCATCATCGTTAACAGATCCTCTTGGTTTAAGGCTACGACTGGCGTGTGCACGTTTACGTGGTCTATTGGACTTGGGACTTATGGAACAATCACCACTATTCAATGTTGGTGGTAGTGGTGCTGGTGGTCCATCGGCGGCGTCGACTATCAGTGCATTGTATGCTGGATGCAGTCAAGCGCATGAATTCGATGATCCACCTAATCTCCAAGTAAGTTATATTTTCTTTTCAATATTTTTCATGTAAATTATAATCCTATTCTAAAGAGAACGGAAACAAATAGGGTTCAGCGAAGTGGCTCTTTTTTGGGTGAATTCATCGATTGCTCAGCGGTAGGAATACTTACTAACCACGACGCCCCACTTGCTACGGGGTTCTTTTCCCTGCCAATATACTCTTATGAGGCCGATACAAAAGGAAGGTTTGTCAACGTGAGGCTATAACAGTCCCATCCACACTGTAAAAAAAGACACCACTGGTAGCGAAACTTCTAAGCTCTAACCTGAAGCCTTCTATATATTCCATTGGGAACCTAAAGGAATAAAATAAGTAATACATCCACTAGGTGGTTGTACAGTCGCATTTATATACATTTAATTTTTCAAGAAAGACTACAGTCACAAAAGGGGGGTTAGTTGTCATGGTTGCCAACATTACTCAGTACATAAGAGGAGTTGATGTGAGTTTGTGAGGCGTTACGTAATAAGATGAGTAATTTTTACCGAATGGGAAAATGTGAAGTTACGTAAGACTTCGAAAGAAGAAATACACGAGATGTTGTAAAGAATTAAAAACACAAAACTAAGTTGGTGGAATACAATATGGTTGTTCCCATGATAGTAGAAATGGTTGGAAATTTTTCTTGTGCTGTACGCACACCTCCAGGCTCTCTAGTTGAATGACCGCGACTTCAATTCAAGGGAGACGAAAGTGTACTGTCTCTGGCAGGTGGTGGTTATTCTTCACTTTGCAGATCGCTTTGAAGGAGATGATTATGGCGCTCCTTATGTAGCCTTGCGGGTTAGTGCTCTTTTGAAGCCTACGGGACAGGATACGCGTCGAATAACTAAATGTACCTGGCTCTACAAGAACAGGTGAACTGATATATGCACATAAAAGTCGTCAAATGTGAGATCTTGTCCTTAAGGCTACTGCAGAATAATGAAAGACCGGTGAACACTACTCTCAGCGTTACTGCGATGAATGTTCTCGATGATGAAATGTTTTCTTCTCTTAAAGAAATCACAGATTAAGTCTTCTTTAAAATCCGGCCTCGTGTAAAGTTTGTTTTCTGGAACAAATAATTCTTCATCCCTATGGACTTTTGGTTTGATATTCTTATCTATGAATCTTGATGGGTGTCAATTTCGTATGATGGTTTCTTTCTGAAACCTAGTTCTGTTTCCAGGGTGTTATCAGGACAGGACTGCAGATGCATTGGATCCGAGTAGCAAGGGATTTAATTAGATTTCGTTTTCGTTCAACACAGACCACCCAACTGTAGGAACTAGTTAGTTGACCGTTCCTAGTGGGTTTCCTACCGACTGGTCTTGTTAACATTCCATCGGGTCTTCTTATTAGTTCCACATCAAAAAGGAGGAGATTTTAGGCTCCATTTCAGGTGTAAATTTTATTACTGGATGCAGTTGTATAAATACCTGTATCGATTGATTGAGGCCAGGTCATAACTATTCTCCCAAATGATGAAAATGTCTCCTACACGTACCTTATCACCTTGAAGTAGAAGTTTGTTAAGACAGGAATGATCGGTGTGTTGACAAGGTGTTCACTTATTAGACTTCTTATAGGACTGTAGACCTACCACTGCCTTTCTGCAAGTATGTGGGATAGCTTTCTTGTGAAGTCATTGAGAGAGAGAATACTCGTCGGAAGACAAATACATAAGGTTCCAGGTGAGCTCAAAATGGTTCGGATATGATATTACTGTCCTTCCTCCTTCTTCAGACCATTGGCCGACTCAACCACACTACTCTTAACATTGCTGTGAAGGTTCTTCTCTTGAGAAGGTCATCTCAGGTTGATGATGATGAAGTGTACACACATATACATGGTCATAATTCTTTCAGATTGTTTTATCTTCCATAATGATTTTTCTTTTTCAATTAGGAGAAAGTTGAACTGATCATGAGAAATTGGATTGAAATCTACCAGAGTCCTAAACAACGTGATCCAGCTACTATTGAAGCTTTAATAAGCCAACTGACACAAATTGGTGTACTACCCAATATTCATAATTCTACTCGATTTTTACGATTAGCTACTATATTTGTGATTGAAAGAGCCTTGAAACAGTTGAAATTGCAAGAACAACAGCAACAACACCAATATCAACAACACGCTCAAATACCTAACGGTAGTGCTGCTACTGGTAACGGTAGTACTGCCAACGGAGCAGCCAATCCAGCTATCAATCGTGTTGCCGCCTACGTGGAGTTAGATGCTTATGCTCGTCTAGTCACTATCATTGTTAGTCAGTTAGACGAAACACCTCAAGGGGAATATCCTAATGCTAAGGTAAGATGCTGTGCTTCATTTCATATCTTGTCTGTTTTTAATGGACTTTTTGATATTTAGGGGGAAATTAGCTTGCATGTCCTACCTCCCTCCCCACCAGGAAGTATGCAAGTCAACAACCCCCAGATGGCTCTTCTGCATTTAACCACAGTTTCGATTTGTAATTCAGCACTGAACTGAGTTAGGCTGTGGGTGGGTGGGTACACACTACCTCTTATGAACTCGATCTGAAACGGGTGTAACAGTCATCCGGTGTTTGTACCATTTTTCTTTCGGTCAGCAAACACCACTTGTTTGTAGGACAAGTGGTATACAACTAATCACCTTAATCAGATAGTAGTATGTTGTTTTACACAGGTTAGGTGTGAAGATAAATACTCGCCACCGATGACCAATGGCTAGTAGTGGTGCCGCTATATCGTGATTAAGCAGAAGTTGGAATCGAAAGTTGCTGGGTTCGAACCCTGGTGGTGGCGGGTGCGTGCTGGTGAAAGTCCTGAAGTAGGCCGACGAGACAGCTGTCCAGTACTCCCAGCTCTAACTAATATCAAGTCTTGATGAGAGATCCTGTAACCAATCAAATTCCTGCAAACCAACACATGTATGCACTGACAAGATTGAAACATTCAGAAGAATTTTTTCCTTGAAGCCTATTTGTGATGTATAGTCTAAGCTATCGTTCCAGTGACATGTGGAAATCCCTTCATAAATCGATGTTTTAATTGATATTTTTTAAATGTTTTTCCGAATACCTTCAGAATTTTTCTCTTCTATATTCACGCAGGTTGCATTGTTGAACAAAGTGTTGGGGCTAATCGCTGGCACATTACTTCAAGAGCATGAAGTTCGTCGTGATTTATTTCACCCTATGCCGTTTGAACGCCTGCTGGTTATGTTGTTTGTGGAATTACAATCGCCAAGCGCATTCCCAGCAATACTTCCATTCCCAATCGGTATTTCACCAAGATCCGATGGTAATCTGGATGAAGGACGCATAGATACTGGTCCTCCTAGTAGTAGTACTACTACGACTACTACTCAGATGGTGGCAATATTCATCAAAACATTGAGACAGATAAAAGCGAACAAAGCGATATTAGTGGTAGTGATGCTCGAACTGCAGCCTCATCGTTGAAGTCACTGGGTCCACTCACCCTTCAACAACAATTACCTCTTATCTTTTGTCATTTGTTACACTGTTTACGACCGGAGAAAGCGACTGCATTTGTATTCTCATGGCTTGAAATGTTAGCGCATCGTTGGTTTGTTGGACGTATTCTCTGTGCTCCTGGGCCACCGAAACTTCGTGCTGCCTATCAGGCAATGTATGCTCAATTGTTAACTGATTTACTAAAATTTTTGGGTTATTTCCTGCAGAATGCTTTAATGCCAAAACCGATTCAGTGTTTATACAAAGCAACTTTACGGTTGCTGTTGGTGTTAATACATGATTTTCCTGACTTTGTCTCAGATTATTATGCATTGTTCTGTGATGTTGTCCCGTCAAACTCTATTCAAATGCGTAATATTATCTTGTCAGCTCTTCCGAAACGTGGCATTCCGTCGGCTGATCCTTTACAGGTGAGTTCCAACAACACAAATTATTATTATTTCCTTTAATTCCTAGAGGAACATAGGGTTTCAGTCGCACGTCTCCATTGCGTTCGGTTCTCTGCTAGAGTTTTCACCTGCCTCCAAGTCTGTTCACATGCTTTCATCTCCTCTTCACATGACCTCCTCCAAGTCACCCCACCGTGGGATGACCAACTCACCACTTCCCTTTTGGGTTCCACTCGAGCGATGGCTTGTCTAATGATGTCACTTGATAGTTTCCTTAGAGTATGGCCAATCCATCTCCATTTCTTCCTGCCTATTTGTTTCACAATCAGCTCCTGGTTGGTTCGCTCCCAGAGGTCCCTATTGCTGACCATCTGATCGTGAGCGAAGGCAGCTGTTGATGAAGGTTTGTAGTAGTAGTTTGAAATGGCCTTCGTTACGCACCATGTTTCTGATCCGTATAGTAAGTAGCACTGACCTCAAATTGAAGTTGAAAATCCGGATCTTATTTTTGATGCTGAGTGCTGTTGACATTGACAACTTGTTACCCTATGTGATGTAATATTGTTACATTTATTGTCTTTCCCTCATACATTTCATTTTTAACAGGCTCCTCCAGTTGATCACTTGGCATCACTTGAAGATCCTACTGGATATTGTATGGAGGCTGGATCTCGACTTCCAGAGCCAATGCGATGTGAATTGGACGCCTATCTTACTACACGAGCTCCTGTAAAATTGTTGAGTGAATTAGTCACTATGCTGAGACGTGCTGATGATATAATGCCACCATTACCACCGCCTCAATTCGCCTATCATCCACAGCAACAGGCTAGACATCAACAAGCTCTTGCAGCGTATGCTGTAGCGCTGGCCGCCAATGATGTTGGCAGCTCAACAAACTCTATGAATAAAGGCGAAGAAGTGAAGTCCAGCGACGATCATTTCACAACGAATCAATCAGGCAACAAAACAGTTGGAAAGACTGGTACATCAGAGTCGTGGGAAGCAAATCCGTCTGACACTAGTGGTAGTAGTAGTAGTGATACACTAACTAGTGGAGGAACTGGATCGACAAGATCTGCTACTGCCGCCTTGCCCAGTACTGTAAATGGAAGTTCTAGTGCCGCTTTAGCTGCTCTACTATGGGGTGTACGTGCTACACAACAATTGGCAACATTTGGTCTCGCTGATGGCATGCATTATAATATTGAATTAATGACAAATTTAACGCTGTATGTTTGTATCACAGCGATACGTAGTCTACGTGAGAAAGGAATGCCTTTGAATATGAGCACTATTGCACATACTCCACAAATGGATATTATACAAAGTCTAGTTTTAAATCTTGATAATGAAGGTATGGTGTGTTTTGATTTATTTTTCTCTCACCTTTTTTCATTTTCGTATTTTCGTATGACTTCACACCGACGCCTGGCTTAGTAGATCAAAGTAGATAGGGGGAGTGAAGTGGTGGTGCAGCATGTTGACCGCCACTGACGTAATCTCTCTCAGTACGGGTACAAAGGGCTGGTGTGCCAGGCATTTGTCAGCCTACATAAACTCTGGCGTAAACGTTGATATCTAGCTGTTGGTGGTTACCGACCGAAGGACCTGTGTTCGCCCTGCAGCAGCAATTCTCTCTTTCCTCCTCTATGACTGTGAGGGAAACATGCCTGTTGAAAGTTGAAGATCATACGTGTTTCCGTCCAGTCTCCCTGTTAAGTGGTATAAAATATAAGTGATGTAAGAGTAAGTGAACCGATACAATAACGAAGGAGGTGGTTGCACAATAAAGCCAAGAGGTTGATAAGTCGATGAGTAACGAATAAGTTGGGTACCTTTGAGGTGAGTGAGTACAACTGAAGTCATAGAAATAAGGGATAACCAAAAAGTACATTATTGTGAACGGATTAAAGGCAAAAATTACGCAATCTCAGCTGAAGGAGAGAGAGAGAGACTAAAGACGACATCCACCGTTATCACGGTGACAAGAAAAGACTTGATAACTGCTTCTCTCTGAACACAGATATCAGTCGGGTTTCAATCGTTTGATAGAGTTTACTTCGGGAACCTAAGAAGGATTTAAAATATTTTATCGGCGTTCATCTCATGACCCCCCCCCCATATGGACGAGATGACTGTCAGTAGTGCACTGTTGTAAGCGTTTGTTCCCTTGAGACGTAGACACATTTTGGTACATGTTCACAAAACCGATGATGCGTGTGCGCCTTCTTTCTTTTTCCCAGTCCGCCAGTGTGACTGCTACCACACAGATGCATGTAACTTTGCAAACACGGTTACAGTTAACACATGAGGCGGCTATCTCTCTACCTTTGATTGCACCACAGAACATGTTTTCAGATTATTTAATTTATTTATTTAAACGCAGAAAAAACTTGGTACAATATGGCACCAAGAAAGATGCGCCACACAATAATAATAAAACAACATAGATCAAAAGTAAAAAAACAAATATATAAGTAGAGAACGGATAAAAAACTTCATCTGGAAGGAAAACAGTCATGCTTAACAATTTCAAACAATATTCGTTAACTGTCATCGGGAAGGGAAGAAAGAAGGAAATTCCAACACGTTCACCATTGATGATTACGATTCTTGGCCATATCCGATAACGTTTCGAGCTATCGATTTGAGCTATCTCTCGGACCCCAACCAGTAGGGAGTCGTGACACACTAACCGGTGCTAATCTAGCACAAAAATCCTTCACCTCACGACGCCACGTCATGGACTGACCACCTCTCCGCCTTTTCCATCTCGTCCCAGGGCTGTCTAACGAACAGAAACCTGTACGGAAGCCTCTGGGATGACATTGGCAGATAAATGATGATAATAATTACCTTTACACTGTGATTACTCACCTGATGAGAAGCTGACAGGGCGAAATGAAGATACCATCTTCTTCCTCACACACCACCGCCGTTCTTGCTTTATCTATGGGTTTTTTGTGTGTGTGCATATTTCTTCACATTAGTTTTATTTACTAAATGATGTAATCCTTTTTTTATTCGTAACCTTTAGGTCGTTATCTCCTGCTGAATTGTATGGCAAATCAACTTCGTTATCCAAATTCGCACACGTATTACTTCAGTTATACCATATTGTATCTATTCTCTGAACAATCTAAGGAACAAGTAAAGGAACAAATAAGTCGTGTTCTCATGGAAAGATTAATTGTTAACCGGCCACATCCATGGGGATTATTAATGACTAGTGCAGAATTATTGCGTAATCCAGCTTATCGGTTTTGGGAACATGAATTCGCTAGATGTAATCCAGAGATTGAAGCGTAAGTTTTAAATGAAAAAAACTTTACTCTGATATCTTGTTGTGCTGTGTATTGAAAATAACTACATTCCTGTAGACAATATCGTCTTACTGTGTACGATAGTGTGTAGACCACCCAGTATCTGTAAGTATGGTACTGTGCTTCGTGCCGTCTGAGTGCAAAGTACTGTTACAAGATTGGAGGGACCCCATACCTGCATTCATTCCTGCAGGTGAAATGCTTGAATTCTGCCGATAAGTTCGTATATCTGGGTAGTTGTGTAAGTGTTGGCGGGACTTCTACGGACAAGAATTCCAACCACATCATGAAAGCTATGGTGACATACGGTAATTTGAGCTATCTCTTTCTCTGTCGCGATGTCAGTCTGACTTTGAAAGAGTCGGGTGTACAATGCTACGGTGCACGTTGTCTTATTCTTTTCTTGTGAGAAACCTGGCCTCTCCGAGCTGATTATGTGTGGCGACCCTGTGTATTCGATCATCTCTGTCTCTGCATGATTGCTTACGATCGATGGGATCATAGTGTGAGGAATTCTGATATCTGGCGGCGTGTTTGGACACGAAGTTCACCACTCATTGAGTATTGTCAACTGGAAACACTATCTTTGGTGTGTTGCATGTGTGCTATGAACGTCATTCGAGCACCTGCAGTACCTACCGGTTTGTGTTCACTAACCCTTGGACTGGTTGGAGAAAGCGATGTGTTTCGGTAGCGCTTGTGCTGTTTTTACAGGGTAGTGTGAGGTTGCTAGTCTCACGCCCCAGCATTTCCTCATTCTTGGATTCACTACTAACTAGGCGAGTTACAGGAGTTATTATATGGTTGGCGAAATTCGGCGTCCGACCTTGGTATCTGCAGTCTCGAAGGTAGTCATGTGCCTTTTGAGATTTTAACCCATTTCACCCAGTTCTGCAATTGCAAGTGTTATCACTGACCCGTTCGGGCACACGAATGACCTTCCGTGGTAGCAACTAGTGTCACTCTCTACTTTGTTTGAATTCTCTCGGTCAAGTTTGCAGTCTAACCGTAATGCTAGGGGGCTTGCCATCATGGTGGGCACTCTGAATTGGTGTTATCAGATGGTTAGAAACAATCTGCGGGGAGCCTTGCCTGGACCTGGATTTTGTGCCCTTGTTGGCATTCGCGTCACAGCGTTGCATGGCGTTACTGCAGTCTTGAGGGAATTCGTGTCCCCTATGAGATTCGAGTCTGTGTCACTAGTTTACTACCTTGTATCGAATCAAAGAATTTTAAGAGTGCAGTGGCTGGGAATTGGATCGTGGACCGTGTTAGTGGCAGGTGGGAATTGTACCACCACGCAACCAGATCAGATTATCTAAAGCAAAGAGTAATATCGAATGTTGAAAAGGGCGGGCTGCATAACTAGAAATATATGAGTTGAGTGTCAGTCACGCTATATACAGGCACTTACTCTTAATGTTGATATATTTTGATTTTGAAAGTTACTGAAACGAAATATTTCATCGCTTAATGAAACATTTTAGTGTAGTGAAAGTGGACAGTGATTTGAACCCGGTAACTGCTGTCTGAAAGTTAGTTGTACGTTCTCAATGATTGAGTAGTAGGTTGTGTTAAATTCATTATACCTAACGAGTCGTGGATTTTGTTAATGCACTGGACACCACCCCCACACCTCCCCCAATTGATGTTAACTTCCTAAGATCGATAAATGTTCACTATTATTTTCGTCTCGAACTAACATTAGGTTAGAGAGATCATTAAAAAGCCGGGGTGCACATTGGACAGGTGTTCGAAAATTCTCAACAGTTCGCACACATAACCTCACCAAGTGCTGAAGTTGAGAATCTAAGGTTACGAGACCAGTCTTGTTGACCATTCAGTCACTTTGAGCTAGAACTATACTCGACGACCTCTGAATTCTAACTTTTTGTCAAGTCGTGCGTCGGATAGCGCTACTCTCACACAAATGCCTACGACGAGCATACACTTCACCTTGACGTAATGGACACCCCCACTGATCACAGACTTACCACTGCACAGCTTCGGAGAGTCCGTCCAGTAGCTACCAAATTGAGAGTGAGTTGATAATGTCGAGGTAAAGTGAGGTGGAGTGTGGTGACTTAAACTGGTAAAGTGAGGCGCTCATCGAAGTCATTTATTTGTGTGAGGGTAGTGCTACATGACGTACGAAATTAACAAAGTTTATAATTCACGAGTTGTATTGCATTCCCCCCGCCAAGTGGCTTGATGTGAATGGTGTCAGCAAGATAGATCTCGTAATCTGTAGGTACTGATTTCCGTCCCGTTGCTTGTGGGTTGGATTGGGGTGTTCGTGGGTGGGTGCGCACTTATGAAAAGTCCCAAAATTGGAAGAAATCCTATAATCCTGAATATTCATTTCGCTATTCTCAAACTATTCAATGATCTTATGAGCTGAGAAGGCTTATATTTATTTATTTATTCTTTATGAATATATTTCTTTCTACTATGCAGAATTGTGACAATCGTTGCTCGTAGTTGTATACCAAATTTTCAAATTCCTAATGTTGTTGTAAATTCGTCTCCTGATGTCTGTACCACCTCCGGTGTTGTTTCATCTGGATTACGTTATGCTCTGTCGTCGTCGTCATCAGGTCCTGCTGCTGCTACTTCAACTGCTGAAGGTTCAATGTGATGATGATCATGAATACTGCCAATATGTCCTATACACGTACATATACAGATATGCTGTTGTGGTAATGTGTGTAAATTCCACACCGTGCTCCCCTCCCCCTCATCATCTTGTGTACAATGTGTAATTTATTTGTATCTTTGTGTGTGTGACAAACACTGTTATTATTATTATTGTTGTGTTGTTATGTGTGTAGTGTATAGAAAGAAAGAATGGAAGAAAGAAAATAAGTTTCGACCAGTTAAGGACATCATCAACTTCTCAATCATATACTGTCCTGTGTGTGTATGTGTGTATATACTATGTATGTATGTATGTGTGCGTATGTATATGTATTTGTATATCAGGAGAAACGAGGAGTGGACGGTCGTTGTCGTCAGTTGGTAAGTGGTCGGTTGGTAGGTTGGTTTTGGTTGTCAATTCATTTTGTTTTTCATTTTTGATTTCTTTCTCTCCCTCTCCTTCAAAACACACACACACAACTAATATGTCTTTTTTTGTTTTTGAATTTAATCTCATATACTAAATCACAATATGCGTGAGAAATGATACGTTTAGAAAATCAAAACAATTGGGGATTCAGCGAAGAGATTCTTGTTAACAACGAATTTATCATCAACCTGTACAGTCGTATATATATGGGTTTTTAGGAAGTTATATCCGGTGAGGGAATTGAATCATAGGTGTGAATGCATAAAATAATAATAATAGTATGAAATACAATTAAAACTAAAATGTTTGTGATCATAATCATAGTTAAATGTCAAGAGGCAAAGCAAATTAATGTCATATATAGAATAATTCATAGGATGGATAAAACTTGAAAAAGGGTGTGCAATTATAGGATTAGTAGACAAATCGAATAAAACAAAAACGTTACGTAATATTGTGTGGAATTTGATAGGATAGAATTCAACGTTTTAAAATAGAAAGAATTGATTTAGAATGACAAGTGGAACAAGTGAAATGATACCGGGGACAGTTCAAAGTGAGAATAGTAATAGTAACAATTGACGTAATAAGGAAGAGTGTACAAATTGAATAGACAAAATGAAAAACTGGTAGAGCTAAAATATGATTGGGGATAACCATATATTTTAGCATAGAGGGATTAAGACCACTCGTATTTGGCGCATATGTAGCACTGATACTGTGGAAGATGAGTTATGCATTTTGAGGAAAATCATAGTGGAAAATAGATTTCCACCACGTTTTATAGATGAGAATATACATTCAAAGGCTACAAAACGTGACTTATCAACCGTGCCGAAGAAAATACTTTACATGAGCTTGGAATTCAAAGGGGAATTAGCTTCCGATAGCATGAAACGAAGGATAACACAGTCCCTGAAAAAACATTCCCTGCTGCATCCCTGAGAATAGCCTTTACTTGCCGACCATTACTGTTCAATAACCTGAAGGACAAGATCCCGCTGTTGACCAACTCTATGTGTGTTTATATATTCACCGAGCTAGGTATCTCGGTCGTTCGACTCGAGTTTTGTCCAAGAGGGTGCAAGAACACTATCCTGCATGGCTACGAAAAGGTGGAAGTGGAGCAATAAAAAGCGCGATCATTGAACATCTGTACACAGAGACCTGGCTTTTCTGTTTCGATAGATAAATATGGCTTCAGCAATACAGATGAGTCGGGAATTTGGGCAAATTACTCTTTGCCTTGTAGATGACTTCAAAGGCAGAGGCTATAGAGATAAGGTGATCATTATTGACCAGATGTTCAATGAAAACATTTTAGTTTTAATTGAACTTCATATAATAATAATAATTATTATTATTATTATTATTATTATTTTGTGCATTCACACCTATGATTCAATTCTCCCACCGGATATAACTTCTAAAAAAAACCCATATATATACGACTGTACAGGTTGATGATAAATTCGTTGTTAAAAAGAATCTCTTCGCTGAATCCCCAATTGTTTTGATTTTCTAAACGTATCATTTCTCACGCATATTGTGATTTAGTATATGAGATTAAATTCATCATCTTTTGTCTCCCCTTGTTCTTTACCGGATCACCGATCAATCAGAATAAACATTTCCAGACAATAGCGACAGTCCATTCCTGCGTGTATAAGTCGATTTATTATGGTTAAGAAAATGTATTGTAATGTACAATAGCACAACAGCCACAACCAAAGAAGTAAGAAGACAAAGAGGGCGTGAGAGATGTGTGCATTTTGTCTAAGCCAAAGCTTGAAGTGTTTGGGTACAGAGCTAGACGGCATCGTTTATAACAAGCCCAACTATAAACGGTCCTCTTCTTTCTCCAGTAGAGTTACGTCAGCATTTCTTTCTGAAAGACAAGAGGAAGGAGAAACTTATTTAGCGACACTATGCTGGTTTTTCTCTCATTATGATCACAAGCCAACCTTTGTCTTTCGACATTTGCGTGTCTCAGTCAATCAGAAGGTCTCTGTCTGTCTGGATTCAACATAGAGCTTGGCACCGAAGTGCAGCAGTTCGAGTTGCCACGTTCCAAATAGCACGCAGAGGTAGACAAGAAGATGAGTGACGAGAATCAATAGAGTTTGACAAGTATGAGAGTGAAACAGAATGGGTAATGGTAGAAAGGAATATGAAAGATTACAGAGACTGAATACATCTGCTCTGTCATTGACAACGATTTTGAGCCATGTCACCTATTGTCTCCAGACATTGATTCTTAGAGTCAGTCCCGAGGGCCCCAACCCAGAAGTCTGCATCTCCCTACCTGACTCAGTTTAACTGTCAAGGATTTTATGGTTTGATGACATGGTTTTGTTTGGCCACCACTTACTCTTTTCCAATCTGCACCTATATCAGCTAGTAATGCCCGTCTGGGAGGGGGGCGATGGTTAGGCATGCGCACCACGTGACCTAACCGTCTCAATCTATGTAACTTTATAGCCTCGTCGATTGATTTTCCCTGTTTGCCCAACACTCTACGCCTAACGTCAACATTACTTACACCTTATTATACCACCTAATGTGAGAAAGAGATCGTAGACATCTATGATCAAAAACAGTCAACCTTTTCATGTCTTCAACTCGTATTGGTCATGTTTCAGAGCCATAGAGAAGGACGGAGCGCGAACTGCTGAGCAGTACACACGTCTCTTGGTTGATAGCTGGATGTCACGCCTACGCCAGAGATGGTGTAAGTTAACGAAAGCAGTTCAAGCTTTTTGGATCTGTGCTGAGATTTCGTCGCCAATCAGTCCGTTGGCGCTGGCTGATACAACTTCCCAAATAGGTGAATTGGTCAACATGTTCACTATCACTTCACTCCCTATCACTAATCGGAAGGTACAACGGACAAATAGACATATTAGCGTATCAGTCGAATTCATTACCATTATAGTAATTAACAAGCGCAGACATAAATAACAAAAGTAGCGCGATAAGGTTTATTCAGTTCAGTTATAACAAATCGACAATGGAGTTATAAAAGTCTAACTGTTCAAACATGCCAATCATTTTACTCTGTCTTTTTCCCAAGTTCACTCTGCCTTCTTCTCCTGAATCAATCTCTTCTGATTGATTTTAACAGAATAATAATTTTTACTGTCCGCCCAGTGTGTTAGAGAGATAATCTCTCACTTTCTTCCAATGTACACCACATGATGTTGATTTTAAAAGGTATGTAGGAATTTCAATATCTCTGTCAGCAGGAGGGATATATATGGGAAATTATTCCCTACACCAAACTGTGTGTTTTGTTGTTGCATATTAGGACAAGATACAGTTTAATTGACAACTGTTCCTCCCTCCTCGCGCTTATTCTTCCCCTTCCTCCTTCTCTTAATTACCATTTAAATACTAATAATGTGGAAGTCACGAGGTTGCAGTATGTTTGTGTGTGTGTGTGTGTAAATATACATTCAAGTTAGGTGTGAAAAACCTTAAAAAAATATTTCAATTATTTTTTGAAAATTCAATCTCAGCTTGTTATCAGGATGCTAAAGGTGTCTTATTTTGTAAAAGATTTTTCCTAGTTGAAATTTTAATATATATATCACTTATATTGTGGTGGCAGGCGGCGTATATTGAAATGTAAGATGTGGTTAGGCTTCTTCACTGTGTAAATAATCGACAAGTATTAGATAGTTGAAGGCAATCGGCCACAGAAAGCCCCGCCCTGGACCTAGGAGGTTTCGTGCTAGTTGACACTCTCATTAGTCAGCAAGGTGTATTTGCAACCTTGAAGGAACTTATGTCCCGTTTGAAATTCGAACCCACGTCACTCAGTGCCGCCTGCAGTCAGAAACGTTACCACTGAGTTATTCGGGCTCATCGACAAGTACTTTATGGCAAAGACAGTTTCTTGCTAGTGACTTGCACCAGGATAGAGTTTTCTGGAGTCATTTCTAGTGAGAAGTCGTGACCAGTGAGGTCCATCCAGTCAAGTGTGTGAGGAGGATGGATGTCCTGCCGATAACATTGGTTGGGGTCGAGCTAAATCACGAATTACTAGAGGCTAGAATTCATGGACTGGCCTTGTAACCAGAAGGTCCTCGGTTCGAACTCCTGTGGTGTGGGTGCGTACTGCCAATGATTCCCAAAAACTAGACAGATGAAACAGCTGCCCAGTACTCCAGTGCTGGTTCTCTAACTGTGATATCAATCCGTGATCAACTCGTAAAAGACTGTTTCTATTTTAATTTCGATAAAATCTTACAGTGTTATTATACAGTAATTTTTTCTACTGATGACAACGTTTCGAGTCCAATTCATCTCTGCTCATAAACATATCAAGACACTATTCACACAACTTTCTAACTTCGTTTATATAATTCCATTATTTGTCATCGCTTGACTTGATTGTTAGTAGTATTTTACATACTTCCGATATGAGTGATGAGTCATTGCATCCTATTGCACGTGTTGGGTGTAGACTCGATGAACAAAAATTCAGTAATCAACCTCTCCCTTCACCTACCTAGATTACTTTTTAGAATTTCAACCCTATCCCACCTTATTGTGTGGTTGTTTGTTAA